GCCAGCGCTGCAGACCGCGGCCGTCCAGCCGTGGGCCCCTCTGGACGGTGCCGTGGTCTCCGTTCCTGTCGCTGTCGTCTGTGGGCCCTTCCGCGAGCCATCGCCGTGCCGAATGTCTGATTCTGCGGCCACCCTGGCTCTCAGTGCCCGGACGCGCCTGCCACGCGCCGGGGAAGGGGCTCTAATCCTAGGTCTAGGTCCTAGGCCTTTAGGTCCTGGACGTTCGGTCCTTCCTGCCCTCAGAGGGCGCGTCGCTTCCAGACGGTCTCGGACGGCGCCTGTTCACTCGTCCGTCGGTTCGCTGCTGCGCCCTCGGCCGAGGCGCCGGGACAGGCACCGGTGCTGTTGCAGGAACTGGGGGTTGGGACAGTGGGCGAACCGGGATGAAGCCGCGGCCGTCGCGGCGTGCTGCTCGGGACACGGACCGTTCGCCAAGAAACCAGTCAGTGTAATTCAGGTAGTGAGTGCTGCGAAGAAAAAGTGATGGAAATTGTGTGTATGTGAGAAGGAATGGCGGCATTTTACTTACTTATTTAAACACTTTTAAAAAAACTGATCTTTGGAGAGAGAGCGCGACCCTGATTTGTTGTTACTTAGGCGTTGGTTGGTTGCCGGTGCGTGCGCCCTGGCGGGGGATGGCCCTGGACCTGCGTGTCCCCGGTGCCCTCACCGCCGACCTCCTCCGGGCCTGGGGTGGCGTTTCAGGCCGAGCGGCTCTCAGGGGGTTCTTCTAGAAGAGGCCGGAAGGAGCCCGCCTCGCGGGACCTGGCGGGATGAGCAGCCACCCGCCGAGGTACCAGGACACGCAGAGCCCCTTCCGTGGGAATAAGCATCAGGGAGAGCTGCGCCCCTGAGACAGCCAAGAGAAGAGTGCTTTGAAATGAAGTGCAGGGGAAGCCAGAGACAGATTATTTAGGGCCTTGGAGGCCAAAGGCTCACGTTTGGATTTTATTCTAAGTGTGGTTGGAAGCCCTTGGAAAGCCCAAGAGAGTAATTAGATTTGGTTAGAGTTTTTTGACTAAGTGAATGGGTTCTCGAACAAAAAAGATTGCCTGGATCGTTGTGAAGAGAATGGACTCTTCAGAAGCAAGGGTCGAAGTGAGGAGACCAGCGAGGAAGCTGTTGTAGGAGTTTGGATTAAAAGGGTTCATTCAGCTTCTTTTTTGGATATTTCAGGTGTTGGGAATTCTCTGTTTGAAAGACTGCCTGTTCCATAGCTGGAACATGGAGTTCTTCCTTTGAATTGAGCTGGAGTCTGCCTCCCTGAAGCTTGTACTTTTTCCTAATCTTATAACAAGACAGAAGACATCTACACCCCTTTTCTCCTAACCAGTCCAGCAGCCACTTAAGGCACGTGTCTTGTTTTTTTTCTCCAGACCACCTTTGGTTAACTAAGCTGTTCTCTGAAGGACATGCTTTCTAGGCCCTTCAGAAGTCTGGTTGGTTCTTGGAAGCTCCATCATTTATCATGGATCCTTAAGATATGGCCACGATCACTGCACCTAATGCTCTACATATCACCTGACCTGTGGGATGACCAAGGGATCATGAACTACCTTAATCTACCCGACTTCTAATGTGCTTTTTAGCATTCGTATTGTGCTGTTGGCTCACACTGAACTGTTTCAAACAACATATTGAGCTGTTTCAAATCACATTTCGCCTCCTGCCCCCCATCCTGTATTTCTATATTATATTTTTCTAATCTAAATGCAGCATTTTACATTTATTTCTAGTTCATCTTGGTAAGTTTATTCTGGTTCATTGGGCTGTTTTTTAATCCTGATCCCATCATCCAACATGTCCTCCCAGCGTTGTATTTTTTATAAGTTAATATATAAATTCTTTTATAAATTCACTATTATGTCCTCCAATGTCTGCATCATATACACTGCAAAAAATATTAACCGCAGGGGGGAGTGGTTGGTGGAGATGGAAGAGGGCATAGAGGGGATAAATGGTGATGGAAAAAATAAAGAGGAAAGAAAAGAGAAAAAAAATAATTAAAATGCTAACTGCCCCAAGAAAAGAGCCCTGCGTGCCGTTTCCCTAAGTGACTTCTCTCCAGGTGGTATGGTACTATTAGTGTGTATTTTTCTAGTACATTTTTTCAGTTCATTGTGCATCCTGGTAATGAACTCTGTTAACTAAAAGCATACTCACAAGGATAGTATGTCAAAGTTTTCTCTATCAAATACTTTGCAGAAATCAGAATACAGTGTGTTATGATAACTCCTGATCTGTCTAAGAAGGTACTAGGGTTAGTTAGATACACTTTATTTTTAGAAAAACCATGCTGGTTTTTTTATGATTATTAAAATGAAGGTTTGCTTTATTTTAAAATACAAAGATTGCATTATAGTAGGTAAAAGTAACTTTAGATAATAATAAACTCTTCTTGAGCTTAAAAAAAGTTTTTCCTTTTCAAACCAGAAATCCTTAGACCAGTGGTTCTCAATCTGTAGCAACTTTGCTGCCCCAGGGATCATTAGGCAATGGCTGGAGATATTTTTTGATTGTCGTAACTTGGTGGGAGGCAGATGCTATTAGCACCCAGTGGGTAAAGGCCAGCGATGTGTGAACCGTCAGACAGTGCACAGCACCACAGACCCACAGCAAAGAATTATATGGCCCCAAATGTCAGTCATGCTAAGGTTCAGGACCCCTGTGTTAGACAATACCTTAAACTCTTCTTTCTTGCAGTGACTACTATTCTGTTTAAGATGGTTGTAAAGAAGAAGAAAGAAATACAAGTTACTGCGTTGACCATTTGTCATCAGGACCTTGAAACTTTGAGATGTAAGTGATTTCTGACTTTATTTCTTTTCTAGGTTGCAAATAGAGTATTTTTATCTCTGGGACTTCATATCACCTAATGTTCAAATCTTGCTATTTATTTTTTCCATGTGCTTTATATTCAATTTTGGATGTAAAATGGTTTTCTTAAAATTCTATTTCAGACTAAGTTCTGCCTGGTGTTTTGGGTTTATAAATATTTAAAATTTATAGAATGCATAACAAAGGCAAACTCATATCCATGGATTTTTACATTTCTGAAGAACTTTTGTGTGTGTGTGTTATGTAGCTTTGGCTGACGTGGAAGGGAAAAATCTAGCTTCTCTGCTGTTACATTGTGTACAGCTCACCGATGGAGTGTCCCAAATCCGTTATGTGAAACAGGTAAGGCTGAATTGATATTCATGGCTGCGTCTTGAAGATTATCATGCTGTTACAAACTTTTAAAATTAATTGATCATTTTTGGCTTGCAATTATTTAATATCAATGTAGCATTAAAGAACAGGTTTTTCTTTCTGTTTATTGTATACTATCTTTTTCTTCAAAGTAGCAATAAAAGCCATCTTCAGGCTCCTGCCACCGTTGGAGCTGTAAGTAGGTAGGGTAATAAGGTGACTACATACCTTTTGTGGAGATAGAGTTTTAAAAATTATTTCTATTAATCATAATCTTCAAAACTTTTTTAGCAGGCACATTAAAAAGTTAATTTAAAATGTAAAGACTGTTCTTACTCGTATTTCAATATTAGGATTTGAATTTGCATATTTTTTTGGAAAGTGATTAAATGCGTTATTGGTTTTTCAGTAGTGCTACCTAATTCCTATATCTTACGCCATTGACAAATCTGTAATTCTTACTGAAGGTGGGTCTGGAGGGTAAAGTGGGAGTTGAGGGCAAGTGTTAATAAAGCTAATAAATACTGAAATAGGTGTTTAAATCAATATCCTTAACAGTGCAGTGTGGAAAATATTTCACATTGTAATTGAGAGTTAAAAGAGTATTTGAATCCATGTTGCTTTGTTATGCTTGATATTTAAAAATTTACTATGACTTTGAATATTTTGGATTATAGATAGTGCCTTTACTGGAGAAAGCAGATAAAAATGGCATGTGTGATCCCACTATTAGAAGTTGTTTGGACATTTTAGCAGGCATTTATCTTTCTTTGAGTCTAAAGAATCCCTTGAAGAAAGTCTTGGCAAGGTAAGGAGAAAAAGGAAGGGAAGTGGGCCATATAAATGTTCAATTTGATCAAAAGTAACCAATATTAAAAATTCCCTGGATTGGTTTTAGACTTGGGACTATTTGTTTATATACCAACACCACACTTTTATTTGCTGTAGTTTGACAATGTAGTTTAATTTTATGTTAGAGCAAGTCATCCCTCCATTGGCTCTTCTTTTTCAAGGTAGTTCCAGTTTTGATTTTTTTTCCTTCTAGAAAAACTTCAGAACTGTTTAGCCAGATTTTTAAAAAATGCTTACTGGTTTTGATTTAGATTAATTGATGTAAAATTTAATTTAGTTTAGTTTATTCATTCGCTAAATTTTTACTGATCACCTACTACGCGTGAAATATTCTTCTAGACTTGGGGATACAGTGAATAAGTCTAGAATGAAGGTTACATTCTAAGAGGAAGATAGAAAATACACAAAATACAGAAGCAAAATATGTAGAATTAGATGGCATGAGGGCTGTGAAGAAAAATAAAGCAGAGAAGAGGGAAAGGGAGACTCAGGATGGAGTGAGTGTTTCAGTTTACAAATAGTGGTCACTTTAGGTATCTTTGCTCAATTGTTATTGATAGGGTGATATTCAAAATTGACCCAAAAGGGGTAAGGGAATGATTATCGGGTATATTTGAGGGACGAGTGTTCCAGGTAGAGGAAATAGGAAGAGAAAAGTTTTGGCATGTTGTTGGAGCAAAGGAAGGCCATGTAGCTAGAGTTAGTGAGCAAGGGTCAAGATGAGAGGTAATGGTGGGGCCAGATCGACAGGGTCTTGTAAGTCATTGTAAGCACTTTGGCTATTACTTTGATTGGGAGGGACAGTGTTGGACGATTTTAGGCAGAGGAATACATGGTGTTTTGGTAATATCACTCTGGTTACTCTGTTGAGGATAGTCTAAGTTATTTTCTGGCAGTATTTTGAAGGTCTAGTTCAGTATTCCTGATTTGTAATGATTCATCTCCCTCGTCACCTACCCTCGTACTACAGAGTTGTCAAGATTTTCAATATTTGCTTCCTTTCCTAGCTCACTAAATTGCCTGCCTGAATTTTTTCTAACTGAGGCCGTACAAAGTTTTACCTCTCGTCTTCAGGAAGAGTTGAAGACTACTGATCTGTACTCTTACAGAAAAGTAATTGACAACATATCTTCCTGTATGGAGAACTTTAACTTGGGTAAGCCAGTTCTTTTCTAGTACTTCTTCTGGCTAACACTTGTCATTACATCATTGTTTTTAAATGATGTTAATTTTGGTCCTGAGACTTCTCACCAGTGTTCATTTTTACTCCCACAGGTATAACAAGTGTTAATAATCTTCTTGAAAATGGTAAGTCCTATTATTTTATTTTATTTTATTTTATTTTATTTTATTCTTAGAGGTGACTGCTTGTATGAGTCATTTTGGAACAGGTTCTTTTAAGTTTCTTGGCAGTAGGTAGAGTACCACAGATAACTAAGGTGCATAATGTTCCTTTTAAATTTGTACTTCTATACTACGGTATCATTTTAGGTAACAGTGATTTAAAATATTGTGCTGAAGTTAACATTCACAGTTTTTAAATCCTGGTTTGTTATATTCTTTTCTTTTCAGTGCTTCATTTTCTACAGAAGAGTTTAATTGAAATTGCAGAAGAAAATAGGCAAGTGTTACATGTTTGCATGCTTGTGCATACTTGCAGTTGCATATTGTCTTTGTACAAAGGAAATTTTTTAAAGGTTCTACAATAGTCTCCGTTCTATCCCTCTCCATTAATGTCAGACCTAATTATTGACATTTATTTTTTAGAGGTTTGATATTTAATTCTTTAAAATAAAATAAATTATTATGAGAATAAGTGACAAAGGGAAGAGCTCTTTCCTCTACCTGAATGTTCCTTTTTCATAGCATCCTGTTCTTATTTTGTGGATGAAGTACTCTCTGTTATCTCTCTGAAGATATTAATGACAGTTTTTAAAGGTTTTTTTATCTTTACATAGCTTCGATTTCTTCCAAGTTGGTTTTTTTCTGTTTGCTGCTGTTAGTCACTATATTTGTTGCTAGAAGCTTTCCGCAGAAGTCTGGTGATCCTAGGCTGAGCCCTCATGGTTAAGAATGGGGCACTGAGAGTTGATTAGAATCTCTGTGCATGTGAGTGTGGTTGATTGCAGGTTTTATTGTGGGTTGGTGTAGCTGGGCTTTCTTTGGGGAACCCCTGATGTTAGTATCTTTAGGTCTTTCTGCATGGGTAGTGGATTCACCATGGAAGACTCTTCCAAACTCTTGGTTTAATATTCTGATTGCTGGCTCTGAAAGTTGAAGTCTTGGCATTTAACATTCACTTTGCATATATTTACCTAATTTTCCTGTTTGCAATATGGTATTGCTACCTTATCTGTGTGTACCGTCTTCCTGTCCAGACTCCTGCTGTTTTACTGTCTCTAGAGGTAGACCAGTTGTTTGCTGGCTTGGAGGTGTGACCCAGAGAGTTTTTTTTCTTTTTCAACAGACTTGTTGCCAATCTTCCTGTTTTCAGCCCTACATTTATTTGCCTCCACCTCAAGGAATACCTGGCGCCCACAACTTCTTAGGCTTTTGAGCATGCAAATCAGGTTGCTTCTGGGCTCATTTTCTGGCTTAGTAGTCACCTTTCTCGATTTAGCTAAATCAGTTATCACTTACCCATGTGCTTTATAGCTTCTACAACTTTATAATTTTCTCATTGTCTTTTTGTTGTTCTTGTGTATTTATTTCTTTTTATGTTTTAAATCCCTTGGGTGTTGGTATAGGGAGGTTCTGGGGGAGAGTAGAAGAATATCTGCGGGCCATCTTTAACCCAAGTTCTCCTTTGCCTTTCCAGGAAAGAGTCCCCTCTTTTCACCTTTTAGGCTTTTCCTCCTCTGTTTATCTCTGCAGCGTGGGACCTGTCCTTTTTATTCTCTTTGTTTTGACTGCTTAATGTCATCCCCTTCTTCGGTGTCAGCATCATTTCTGTAGTTACGGTTTGTAGGTTTATCACTCCACTTAGCTCTCTTCCTCCAACAGTAGATTTACATAGTTATCTCTTAGACATCTTAACTTGGATGTTTTACACATACCTCAAATTCAGTGTGTTCAAAAGAAAATTCACTGTCTTTTTATCCCTTCCCACAACCCATGGTAACCTGTATTCATTCTGCTTCCTGTCTCTTTGAATTTGCATGTTCTAGATACCTCAAATAAGTGGAATACAGTATTTGTCTTTTGGTGTCTGGCTTATTTCAATATTTTAAAGGTTAATTTATGTCATAACATGTATCAGAATCTCATTCCTTTTGATGGCTGAGTAATATTCCATTGTATATATACACCACAATTTGTTTATCCATTTATCTGTTGATGGACATTTGAGTTATTTCTATCTTTTTGCTAATGTGAGTAATGCCGCTCTAAACACTGGTAGACAAGGATCCGCTTGAATCCCTATTTTCAGTTGTTTTCATCATATACCTAGGAGTAGAATGCTGGATCATATGATAATTCTACATTTAACTTTTTGAGGAACCCCCCAGCAGTTTTCCCTGACTTATGTTTTTCTGTTATTACTCTGTATTCTGCTACGTTGAGAACAGACTGAGAGGAGCAAGGATAGAAGCTGGGAGACCAGTTAGGAGGCTACTGTAGTAACCCATGGGAGAGATGAGAGTGGCTCAGGCCAGGAGTAGCAGTACAAGTGGTCTGATTCTGGATATATTTTGAAGGAAGGCAGAACCCACAGGATGGAGTGTGGAGGAGAGGAGTCAAGGATGATTACAAAGTTCTTGTAGGATAGAGATCCCAGGTGGAGCATGTTTGGAGCTGAAGATGAGTTCACACAGTTTGACATGTCTCTCACACATCCAAGTGAAGATACTGGATAGGAAGCTTCGTATACAAGTCTGGAATTAGAAAGAGAGGCCTGGGCTGTTGATATAAATTTGGGAATTGTCAGCATATAGATTATAATTTAAAGCTAACAAGCTAGATGAGATCAGCATCAAGGGAATGAATTAGATGGACAAAAGAAGAGCAATAAGGTCTGAATCATGGAGAGCTCTAACATAAAGAGGTCAAGGGACAGGGGGAACTAGCCAAGGTATCTAAGAAGAAGTGATGGTGAAGTCGGGGAAAGTCTGGGAGAGCCTGGCATCTTGAAAGCCGGGTGAAGAAAGTATATCAAGGTAGAGGGAGTGTTCAAGATTATAAATTGTGTTATTTGTTTTTAATTTGTTATTTTTACTTTAAAAAAGAGGAGTGAGGTTAGAAATTGGCTGATAAAGAGGGAAATGTTGTGTTAAGAGTGTTGAAAGTTTCCAATAAATGTCTACATAATTGGAATGTTTATGGGACTGGAAGAGAAAGGCGTGTCTGCTGTAATCTAAAATTGATTTTGGCTCTTTGAGGAATGTGTTATTTTGAAGAGTGATAGAAATGGTGACATTTTTATGTGACTTTCATTTTGTAATGATGTCTTTTCTTTGTTGTAGAAAACTTGCTGGAAATCATATTGTTCAAACTCAGTTGATGAATGACTTATTGGTAGGCATTAGAGTTTCAGTAATGTTAGTACAGAAAGTACAAGGCCTCCAAAGAATTCATTTGACGATTTCCAGTTCTCCCACATGGCAGAGTATGTGTGAATTGCTGAGTATTTTTACCAAGTTTTTAAACAATGGTAAGTGTAAAAACATACAAATGATGGTTATAATTGTCACTCAATTTTTGCTAATAATGGTATGAAGTATATGGTACTTAAGTCAGCCCCTCAAAGTGGAAAAAGGCCTGGGATTACAAGGTTTTAATGCTTTTTCTTTCAAATGTGCCAGCTCAGCAAGGGATAAAGTCGAAGGACTTTTCTAAGTGTCTGTGTATTGCATGCAGAGAAGAAAACCTGACAGTCTTAGTGTTGAAAGGCCACAGGCTTTAAGTAGCAGAAGAAAATTCTTGAGAAGAAATTTCCAAATTTGGAAGGAAGGTGTGGAAAGGCTGGTGTAATCCACACATTTCTCCTTGGCAGCAGGTATTATCTTCAAATAATGACAATAGTTACTGTGGGACAGCTCATTATGCTTCCTTGTACTCATGTTGCTTCTATCCATATAAACTGTACCACTGGGAAACCGGATAGTTGATGAGAAGACATGTCTTTTTATAAAAGTATTTCAACTAATAAAGTAAAATGAAATGACAGAATTAGAATATCACCATTTTGTAACCTGCAATGAATTGATGTAGGCATTAAGCATCAGTGGCTGCTAACATTATAGAAACAGGCAACCAGACAACATGTGCCCCTTCGAGTCTTGCTTTTACCATCTATAGTCTTCGAATTGAACTTGAGACTGGCCCTGTCTCTAGGTCACCTACCAATTTACAGGAATTATAGAGGACAGAGGAACATGTTGAACTACACCAGGAGTAAACAAATGCAATATCCAGATTGTGGGAAACTCTAGGTCTGACGGGCAGAGTTCTTCAACAGGGAAATTGTAACAAAAAGAAAGGGGCCGAAAGGGCACATGTAGATTAAAAGACACATGTCAAATTTTTAGAAAATGGACAAGACTGAATTATAGTGTTTAGGGCTGTATATTTGATCAATGAAATTTTTTTAAAAACTAAAGATGTCATTACTATGAAAGAATAATGCTTAGGGTGAGAGAAAGGAGCTGTGATTGAGATGAGGCACATGGATGAGTTTTCTGGGCTGGTGGCGGAGTTCTGTTTCTTGCCATGGATGGTGGTACAAGGGTATTTGCCTTCTAATAATTCATTGTTCTACATTTGTTTTGGGTGGTTTTCTGTATCTCTGTTTTATGTTATCTGTGCTTATGTTACAATAAGATTAACAAGTGATTCTTAACATGTAAGTACATAAAAAGTTATATTACCTATACCCTCCCATTCTATATGTTAATGTATATATGAGTATTAACTTAATTACAAAAACACAATGGGATCTGTTCAGAGTGTTTATTTATAAAGAATAGCAACTGACTCTGGTTTTGCTAGCCTGATGGGAAACAAATAGTAATCTCATTGTTTATATGTTTTTAACCCTGGTAACTAGTGGAAGTCCTAGCTAAATTGTCCAGTTAATATTTCTTTTCTTTCTTTTTTTTTTTCTTTTCTGCCTAGGATCTCAGATGGGTATTAAAAGGAGAGGAAAGTTATTCTTATTAAGACATAATTCACAGACATCTTTTCTGTGAATATTTGCTTTTAAAAGAGAAATTTGTTAAATCTAAAAAAAAAATGACTGATAAAATGCAGACAGAACATGATTTTAATATCAGGCAGCCTCTTTTCTGAAAAGTTGATGGCACCTAATCAAGGCTATTTCCCCCAGGATTTTAAAGCTCCATGTATCAATCAAGTGTTTGCTGTAAGCAACAAACTGAACTTCAGGGACTTAAGCATATGTGCCTCCCCTTCTTCCCACGTAACAGGAAGTTCAGAGGCAGGTGACCCAGAGGTACTGAAGGCAGCGTAGAACCCTCAATTTCTGCCTTTCGGCTTTGCCGTCTTAAGCATGTTGGCTTTCTCCCGCATGTTTGCTGCCTCATGGTTGCCAGATGGCTGCTGTCGCTCCAGATAGCATGTCTCTGTTTAAGTCAGGAAGGAGGACCAGTTGCGTCCTTACTTTCAATCAGGAAAATCAAAAGTACCCAGGAGATTTGTGCTTACATCCCATTGGCCTCATGGCTGCCTTTAATTGCAAGGAAGATGGAGGAAGCAATTCTTTTGTCTTTGGCTGGGTACATGGATGCCTCAATCAAAGTCACAGTTCTATTAACATGAATAAATGACAGAATGTATAATTAGTAGATAACTTACAGTAGGTACATATAATTCTTTCAACAGGTTAAATAATTTACCATGTTGTTTACTATACTTTCTGACAAACCAGAGGCTAATAGAAAATAACAAGATAGCAAGATGAGATTGTTTGGGTACAGTGCCAGTGATAGCAAGTTTATAATTAGCACTGATGCAGGGTCTTTACACAGCCCTGAAATCACTAAGAAAAAGTAATATAATGTGGGGGTTGGGATGCAGAGGCATGAGCGGAGGGGACAAGGTGATGGTGCTGCTAGATGTGTTGGGGGCTGTAGATGGAGAGGAAGAAAGTGAATCGTAGAGGAGAGAGGAAGGAATCACATGTATTGAGTGTGTATGTGTTGAGCATAAAAGCCTTTTGTTCATTGTTCATTTAAACCTTATAACAACTATGTCAGATAGGAGCTATAGTTTCCTGGGAGGTCCAGTAACTTGCCCAAGGCCTGTTTACCTAGGAAGTAGTCAAGCTAGAAATTGCACCCAGGACTGTCTTACCCTGCAGCGTGGCTCCTTCTGCTGTACCAGAACATCCATCATCTAATGCGTGCTGTCTACTTCTTTGTCAAATAGATGACCTCTTAAGGACAATTCAGAGTACATCTGGATTAGCTGTTATTCTTTTTATTAAAGCTATGTTTCATCCACCTGAAAAGATTCCTGATTTGGTGAGTGCATCTCCTTTTTAGAATTGCATTTTATTGATAGTTTGACACATTTAAAAAATATTTTTAAAGAAATAAATGAGAATTTTTTTTTGCATAATCAGAATCTTTCTGATGATCTTTTTCTCTTACATATAAAAGACAGTTCCAAAAATTCAGATAAAGCAGAAAGAACACAACAGTTGCCTATAAATCCATCTCACAAAGATAATCACTGTCAACATTTTTTATGTATATCCTATTTTTCTCTAGTGCTGTTTGTTCAGTTCTCTCAGTATCATAAGATATTTGTAATATTACAATTATTCAGAGATTAATGTACATATATAGTAATAACTTTTTGATAAATGTGTTTTTTATTAAGAATGTCCCAAATACTGTGTTTTAGACAGGAAGCATGCTGGAATCATTTGTTCAGCGGATTTGATTGTATGGGGAGTATAATTTGATAATTCGGGCCATAATCCTTGTATTTACTTCTAGCAGTTTTTCTCTTTACTGTATTATCTATTATTTTAGCTCTTTGCCTGACTTTATGCAAAATAGGTGTGTGCCATTCTCTGAGATCACATTTATTGGATAAAATTAAACATTCTCTTTCTAAATCACTTCTTAAAAGCATTAGTTAAGCTCATCCACCTGCAGGTGGCGATGTGTTGTGCTCTACCAGTACATTCAAACCAGCAAAATGGTTCATGTACTCAGATTTTATTTTCCCCCCATTGTTATAATTTTACCACTTGTGGCTTTTTCACCTTTAGGTTTATTTATTTTTCTTAGGCTGTTTCAGGGGAAAGAGAATTTTGGATTTATATTTTGAAGTATCTGAAAATTTTAGAGGTGTTACATGTATTCACTGTTACATTTTTCAGATTAGTAGTTTGCTTCTCCATTCTGTGGACTGCTCGAGCACCCCAGAGTGGTTTGTGAACTCCTGCAGGAGCCTTTGTTGTGCTGATGTCTCCGAGTCAGCCCTCCTGTTCCTGTGTCAGGGGACCCTCACCATGTTGGACTGGCAGAATGGGAGCATGGGCCTGAGTGGGGAGGTCCTGCTCTTGGATACCGTGCATGTTTTGTTCACCTTGAGTTCACAGTAAGTTTTGATGCTGCCATCTCATATTTTGTTTTGCTTATCAGACATTTAAAAGATGGCAGCTGAGCCAGTGTACTTAGTAATTCAATGAAAAACGGTCAGGATAATCCTCTATTGAAAGGGAATGACGTGGGTGTGAAAGTAGAGCAAGAGAAAACAGGATGATGGAGGTTATAGAAATTATTGGTGCAGATTAACCTGGAGTGAACACTTTTAAAATTAATTTTAATGTTCAGTCTGTTAGCATTTTTAAAAAACAATTTCTATATGTATCGTGTTTTATAGTTTATGAACAACTTCATAGATAATTCAATGTGGAAATCTAATTTGTTGAATGGGTAAAGTGAATAGTCTAGAAAAGTAAATGCTTTAACCTAAGAGTATATTGCTAATATGTACCTGAGCCAGAACTGTAGCCAGGTCTTTTGACTTCCTTGGATTGCATTTTGTGATGTTTTGGTGTTTTTGCCATAATGCCTGAAAATGTTCATGTGCTTAACTTGTCAAACCATAGATACAGCTTGATAGTAATAAACATGTAGATAAAGGGAGAAAACTACAGTGTTTTAAAATAACATGTTTTTCAGTTTATGTGTATTTTTAAATTGTACATATTTTTAAATTGTGCATATTTTAAAATTTATTCTTCATTGTGTTATTTTATACAGATCAGTTGAGATATAATTTACAGAGTTTGTGTTTTTTTGGTATATCCATGGGATGGTGCAACTATCACTACAATCAATTTTAGAATATTTTCATTACCCCCAAAAGAAACCCCATTCCAACTAACTTTCCCCAACCCTAACTCCTTGGTATGTTTTAAAATACTTGTGAAACAATCATCACAATCAAGATAATGAACATTTCCATCACCCCCAAAAGTTTCCTTGTGCCTTTTTTGGGGGAGGATGGTTTATTTTACAAGATAAATAGATTTATATACAAATTTGGGGTCTGTTTTGGCCTTGTTTATATTTTTGTTGTGAATTTAATAATGATTGCATTTTCTGATCATTCTTTGTGTTTTATGTTTTTAAAGTTTAAATGATTATAAAATCAAATTTCTTTTACTAGTCACTTTATAATAATACATCTTGTTTTTCTGCAGGATCAAGGAGTCAGCTCTGGAAATGTTTCTGTCGAGAATTTTGGCATCTTGGACTAACTCAGCCGTACATGTTCTCAAATCAGGTTCCCCAAGCCTGAAAGACAGTCTGAACGGGAATTCAAGCATAGCTCAGAGACTTTTGGGATATGTCTATACCCACTGGGAACATCCATTGGATGCTTTGAGACACCAAACCAGAATCATATTCAGAAACATTCTTCAGATGCACCAGCTCACTGTCAAAGAGTCAGAGTTAGAAAAGTCAGACTTGGCTGCTGATCGTTTCATCTTTGAACTGACTGAGAGTCTTCTGCGATTGGAATGGCATATTAAAGGAAAGTACATATGCCTTGGTTGTTTAGTAGAATGCATAGGAGTTGGACATATTTTGGCATTAGCTAAAACTATTCCATCGCAAATACTAGAGGTGATGGGGGACCAGTCACTGGTACCTTATGCAAGTGACCTCTTAGAAACCATGTTTAAAAATCATAAGAGTACTTTGAAATCTCAGGCTGTCGACAGTACTTGGATTGATGAGTGGCATGAGACTTGGGTTTCTCCTCTCCTTCACATACTCTGTGAAGGAAATCTGGATCAAAAATCTTATGTCATTGATTATTACTTGCCCAAATTATTGAATTGCAACCCTGAAAGCTTAAGCTACATGGTAAAGATTCTTCAGACTTCTGCTGATGCTAAAACTGGTAAGAAAATGATTTTTTGTCTTAGTAATTTCTAGTTAGGATTTTTAAGTGTAGTTACCCAGACAGATGTTGACTGTATTCAAATTTAAATGTTATCACTTCTATAAATAGTAAAGGAGGACATTAACAGTAAGGATTTCAGTTGAAACGAATGGTACTGCACATAGCTGAATCGAGTTGTTTTGGCTGAAGCCATTTCTACAGGCTAAGGATTGATTCCAGATAGGATTATGAGGTTTACTTTATCATAGTAGCCCCTCCTATCTGCAGGGGATACATTTAAGGACCCTCAGTAAATGCCTGAAGCTATGGATAATACCAAACCCCATATATACTATGTTTTTCCTATGCATACATACTTATTTTTAATTGATAAAGTTTAATTTATGAATTAGGCAATTTCGCAGATAGAAGAGTCGATTTTACTATCCATCTTAGCAACCTCAGCATATGATAAATTTTTTTCCTTATTAAGTTAAGAACTTTTACTTTTTCTCTTAAAGAAAGCACATTATGACTTCTCTTTGGTGTACCTGAAGTGCCAGCATCACTGCTCTTTGCTTTGAGGCCATTGTTAAGTAAAATAAGGGTTAATTGAACACTAGCGCTGGGATACTATTGGGACAGTTGTAACTGAACTGGCCACTAAGTAATTAATAGGCAGGTAGCGTATACAGTGTGTTTAAAATTAGAAACATGAACATTGTGGTAGTTATCACACAGCACAGTACTAGTATTTGCTAATGCGCTTTTGCAACAAGAGCAATCTTTTCCATCCTTAGGGTCTTATAATAGCAGAGGGGCTCTGGGAGCTTTGATGGCATGTCTGCGAACAGCTAGAGCTCATGGACATCTTCAGTCTGCAACTGATGCCTGGAGGAATCTTGTGTCCAGTGCAAAAATAAAGCAAGGCTTAATTCATCAGCACTGCCAAGTAAGTAAACAGAATAACTAGGAATTCATACATGCAGTAGATCCCTGATTTATTACTCATTTATCAATCCCAATACAGAGGCCCCTATGTTATGCCCATCACTGTTTTAAGGCGTCCATAAGAGTGATGAATAGAGAACGAAAAGTGAAGACCTTGTACCCAGGCTACTTAGAGTTTAGTTGAAGGAATAAGAAAACGTGCGTAAAATAACTGTAGACTCTTAGAAGAAAATACAGATGCAAGAGTGCCTTACGCGTAAGGATGTGGGCAACTCAGGAGAAGAGACCCATCAGAGCAGCAATGGCTGATTAGGAAAGTGATAAATGTGATTAGAGGAGAGGAAGCATTGGAGCAGCCCACAGAATGACCTACAAGGACTTTGACCTAAGGACATTGTTTGGCAGTAGTGAAGTGTTTTGTCCATTTTATGGAATCCTCCAATCCTAGGCCGAAGGCTTCAGTTTTCATTCAGTTGGTAACTGGGAACCAGCGCCTTCAGCAAGGAAGCGAAGTTAATGCAAGCAGATGAGTGTGCAGAACGGGAGCAAAAAGAAACCAAGAGGCCAGTTAGGTGTGCGTGACAGTGGTCTGGGCGCGAGGCGATGGGGCCCTGGGCTAAAGTGGTCACTGAGGAAGAGAATGAAAAGAATGAAGTTGAACATCACCGTGGAATAAGAATCTTTAAGGTTGTTTGCTTTAATATCTAATTTACACATTTAATAAAATAATTTAAAGACAATAACCAGAGGATCTTTGGGATTAGGGATGAGGTTTACTGTGTGTTTTTTTCCCTTTGGTAGCTTGTGTAAATAATTAAACATGTCAAGTGGTTTAGGCTTCGCTTTTTTCATTGAAAAATTAACATTTTACTGCTTGATGTGTTTTAGGTGCGGATAGATACATTAGGCTTGCTTTGTGAAAGTAATCGAAGCACAGAAATCGTTTCCATAGAAGAGATGCAGTGGATTCAGTTCTTTGTCACATACAATCTTAACAGCCAGTCTCCAGGAGTGCGGCAGCAGATCTGCTCTCTTCTTAAAAAGGTAGGATTTCTCATCAGCAGGTATAGGAAGGTGGTGAGCTTTGATCTGGAAATCATTCATCAAAAGAATCCAGATTTTGGGAGCATGTGAGAATAATGGTCACGGGCTTGGAGTGCACATCTCTTCATAGCCCTTCTGTGAACTGCTCCATGATTCCATAGAACACTTGACATTCGGGATTGAAGCCCAGAGTGAAAAGTCCTTTCATTTTGGTGTAGTAAATCAAACTGGAGCTCTTTTTTTGAAAGAAAAAAAATCTAGTGAGTTTGCACGGTGTAAGTTATTTCAAGAAACCTTTCAAAGAGGAGGAAGGATGCTCTTGTATTCTTAGAGCTTCTTAAAGCACCCATGAAATGGTCATTGTCGAATGATTCAACTTGAAGTAATCACGCAGCACATTTATGGGGTGAGGAATGGGTAGAGTGTAGATATGAATGTCCAATCTTTAGGTTGATGCTCACCTAAAGGAAGTAGAACTGCGGGTTAATGACTTGTATTCTGGTTTGCAGTAATATGTTGGTTTTGGTTTTAACAATGTAAATGCTGATTTTCTGCCAAAAAGAGACACTGTGTAAATATTAAGAGTTTAAAAACCAGTACTTTCCTTGCCTAAAGTTTTAGTGTAAAGAAGTTAGAAAGTTTTTTCTTTGACATTTAAGGTTAATATGGCTCACATAGGCTTCATTTTTCTTTTTCTCAAAAGTTGTTTTGTAGGATACAGGAAAGTTCTCAGGTGCTTTATAAACTGGAGCAAAGTAAATCCAGACATGAACCAGAGAATGAGTTAACCAAACAACACCCTTCTGTTTCTTTAAATCAGTATAAGGTAGGTGATATATTTCTAGACGTGGATTCTTATGAAACCTGAAACAATTATGAATATGCATTAAAGGGAAATAAATGAAGTCTCTTGGTAAGTAGTGCTTCTGTGCTTTTTTTTTCAAGTGGGGTTTTACATATTTCTACTGGTGCTTTTGTACTTCTCTGGAGGTAGTCTGAGTTGTGGAACCAGTGCTGGACTTCAGGTCTATTAGAAAATACATTAATGAGTTAGCCTCTAATTTACAGCATATCTGGGCCAGCTGGATTTAGTTATTTAACAGAAAAGTAATTGCTGGCCCTGAACTCCTCCACTCCTCCCCAGGGCAGAAGACTGCTGTGTCTGGACCTGTTTCCTTTATACTAACATGATATTCATGGCTGGTGTTAGTGACTCCTGGCCCATGGTCGAGCTGTGGAGGTTCCTGTCTATCCCATTTTGGACTGAGCTTGAAGAGTAGGGCTGGCTTTTAGGGCACTGTGTTAATGGATTGAGTGGAACCCCAGAAACAGCAGCCGCAGTCTGGGCCAGGGGTCAACTTGACAACCTTTAATTTCTGTCTGTCAGAACAGAATGAACTTTTCACCACTGGTTTCTTACTCCAAATCTAGCCCCTCAGAAGTAAATTGTATTTTCTTCTAAGACCCAGGTAGAGGACAGAGTTCATCTATTTTATTTTATTTTGGGAAACAAGTGTAATAAATTGATACATTGGAGCTATAACACAGTGACTACTTACTCTAAACATTATGGATAGGCATTAGTTTTCAATTTTGTATTAAAAGGCAAAAAATCATCTACAGAAGAATATTCTTATACAGAGGCTGAAATCAGCTTCATCTTTGTAAAATCCCAACAATGAAGATTAGAAAAGCACAACCTAAACTTTAAGCACTTAGGTTTAGTCCTAATTCTGCCATTGACTAGTTGGCTTACTTTATGAATCTGTTCAACTGTAAGTGGGATTAGTAACCTCTGTGAAAGCTTTGTTTTGATGATTAAATGAGAAAGCTCTTTGTAAACTCTAAATCACTCTAAAAAGCCTTGCTGGGAGTCATTAAAAGTGATATATTGAGCACTTGCTGTGTGTGTGGAACAGTTATTTTTTAACCTTGCTATATGATCTAAGAAAACACGTATCTTTTGCTTCTTTTTGCAAGGGGTAAAATGACAATTGTCTAAGCTAGGTATTTAGAAACAAAGCCTATCTTGTGGGTTGACATTCTGAATCTTCATGTACACACATCTTTCTAGTTTGTGCTTATGGATGTATATTTTTTGAAAACTAGTCTTTAGAGTCTTAATCTGAGTCAGTCTCATGGTTCTTATATTTTCTCCCAACTGTAGTCACTAGTGGCTTTTGGAGGTTGTAGCTTTGGCACTGTATTACCAACACCATCATGACCATGGGTGTCATGCACAGTGTGTGGTAGGTTCAGAGCCAGTAAACAGACTAAGTGCTGGGGAGAAGAGGAGCCTGTTAGTTGGAAAAGGTGTCTAGTCTATTGAGGAAGGCCATTTCATATGTAAATAACTGGTATTACTAACCAGAGTACTTTCAAATTTACAGAATGCTTTATATCCATGTTCTCATCTAATCTTTACTAGCAAGGCTGTGAGATGGGCATTATTATTCCCACATAAAAATGAGAAAGCTGAGGTTTGGAAAAGTTGAGTAACCTGCCCAAGATCTCTCTTGGTAGTAGGTCCAGATTTGTTCTTGACTCTAAAATCTGAATAGTGTTTTTTCCTTAGTACCAGCTTAAGAGAAGGTCTGGAGGTAAGAAAGTACAGAAAGAATTTGGGGAATGGTGAATCCACTGGTGTGAATGACATAAGATACTGGGGGGAACAGAGGAGGTGAGTGATGGGAAATGAGTTAGAAAAGCAAGCTGGAAAAGAGTAAATCAAGTAGAAAGTTTGAATGCTAGGCCAGGGTATTTGGAAGCCTCACTAGGAGCCATTAAAAGAGACTAGAGCATGTACTGAGTCCTTTATGTGTGTGTAGGACAGTATGCTCAAGACTAGGGATATAAACAGTGGTCCTTGCCTCCACTGTGGTTACAGTCTGGTTGAGGGAAAGAACTATATCTAAAAATATAAGTGACATTATAATTAGCATAAGATCATCCTTAAAGGATGAATTTGTTGCCCTTTAATGTGATCTTACACTAATTTATAATTAAAATTATAATTAAAACTAGTTTAGGATATTTTCAATAACTACCCTATTTCTTTGAAACCCGATAGAATTAATAAACTAATAAGCTCTTACTTAGGGCCTGTAGGGGCCTACAGGGTAAATCCCTGGAGTTCTATGCCCTTGACCAAAAAAATGAATGCAGGGATCCTGTCTAGAGTAAGTTGAGACCAGAACTGCTTATATCTGCTCAGTTACAAATATATGTCGTTAGGGCATAGTAGCATACAAGATGCTTCAGAATCACAACTTTTTCTTATAATTTTTCTCTTTGATCTTACACAGAAAAAAAATATTTTAATTAGAGGGAGACAATTTTATCTTCGATAAAAGTATTTCCCACTTTGCTTTTTGTTTAAAACTTGCATTTTACTAAAAGTTTTCATTTTTTATCATTTGTATAAACAGAATGGTAGAGCAAGAGTCTAAAAGGGGCAGACAAAAGACAATGGAATAGTTGGATTTTTAAATGAATTATGTCATTATAGCCAAATTTATCAAGTATTACATTTACTAAATTTATCAAGTAGCATATATTTCTTTGGTCATTTTAAAACTTAAAATGTATACATACCTTTGATGCCTGAATGCCTCTGATGAAGAAAATCAATATTCATACAGCTTTAGCATAAGTCAGGGCAGAATAGATTTGTTTTCACTAAAAATGTGTGTGTGTTTTTCTTGTGCTGAGTACAATAGGAGTTGTACTTGTTGACTACAAAGATGGAGTTCGTGGAAATCATGGTATAGCTCATGGCCAGGGGTGTCAATCAGAAGTGTTAAGGGAAATGGACAACTAGTACTGTTTTTAAAAATCTTTTCTCCCATAATGAAAAGAAAAAACCCACTCTTAAAGGTGATACTTTGAATATAACCTATTTGAGTTAACTCAATTATACTTGTTGTAATTTATTTTTAGGATTTCATGTCATCCATTTGCAACAGCCTTTTTGAAGCATTGTTTCCTGGCTCTTCCTTCCCAACTAGATTTTCAGCTTTAACCATTTTAGGCTCAATAGCTGAAGTTTTTCCTGTCCCAGAAGGTAAGTTTTCATTAATGTTTGGGGAAGTATTTTTTTTTCTTGGGAAACACACACTTTTTCAACATTTTGTTTTACTTGAAGTTTGAGTTTTTTTGCCTTTTTAGGTTCTTATGGGAGATTTTATTCTCACTATATAATTCTTATTTGGACATAATTAAATTTGTCAGTAAAGGACATGAGGGAGAGAAACTCTTTGTAGTTATTATTTGCCAAACCAAAACTACAGTTTTCACGGACTGTGCTTACTGTGTTCTCATCGTGCCCCAGTTTATATGTTGGTGTTCTAACATAGTGCCCGATTTGTTCTTTACATTTAAAAAATTTAAAAAATTAGTTTCTCTTATGTATAACATTCCACAGTGAGTCTTTGTGGTTAAAATGTGGTTTCCCTGAACTTGCGCTTTGTTTCATAAGTCTCACTCTGGTTTCAGAAAGGCTAGGACAGTATCATTTCCAGGCATTCTGATTTAACGATGCCCTTTGGTTCTTCTGTGGGATGCTCAGACAGGCTGAACGTTTAACTTCCCTTTGAGTTGTTTCTTTTTCCTCCCTTTTTGACAAGACGTGGTTCTTTTTATCCCCATACGTGAGTTTACTGGTTTGGCTATGATTTCTTGTCTGTGCTCAGTCTTTCGTGACTTTGGTCAAACAGAAAAATATCCTGCTCAGCTGCTTTTTCGGAAGGAATGGCCACAGGATCAGGGAACTTCGCTCTATAGTTGGATTTATTTTATTTTTTTTAGTTTACATTTTTAGGCCGGGAGGAGAGTTATTTGATACTAATACAGGTTTGCTTCATTTGAAGAAAACCATTTTTTTTTTCAAGTTTTTTATTTGAAAAAAATTCAAGTCAACAGTGAAGTTTCAAGAATAGGTCAGTGCACAGCCTTGTCCCCTCTCCCTAGATTTATCACTTGTTTATATTAATGGCTTCAGTGGGTTCTTGGAAACTGCAGCTTTAAGTGAAATGACATGTAACAAAACCAATTTTACCACAGGCTAATTGATATAAACAAGAATTAAGTTTCTGCAGCACACTTTTGGCTACAAAAACATCACCAAACTTCTAAATAAAGACCTAAAACACTTCTAATATTAAACATTGAAATAAATGTGAGATATATGTACATTTAAGAAAGATTAATAAAAACAAGTAAGATAATTCTTTTCTAACCAATTTATTCCAGTTAGGGTCTTGGGTAGCCTGAGCCCATTCTGGCAGCTTAGGGGACAAGGTGGGAACCCACCCTGGACAGGACACCCTTCTGTTGCAGAGCCATTCACACTCCCACCCACACTCACTCAGACTGGGACAGTTCAGACACACCAGTTAACCTCACATGCGCATCTTTGGGACGTGGGAGGAAACTGGACAGCCCATAGAAAACCCATGCAGACATGCGGAGAGTTGACAGACTCCACACAGAAAGTGCCCCTTCCAAGGAATTGATTTTTTCCTCCCCTCATCAATGTTATATTATAAAGAAAGGATGTTGGATGAAATGATGTTATTCAAGAACCTACCATATTTGCTTTATTTCTCTATCTTATTAATTTTCTAACCATAACACACTGATCAAATTCAGGAAATTTAATGTTGATAGAATGCTATTATCTAATGTACAACATATATTCAAATTTTGCCAGTTGTCCCAATAAGTGGCCTTTTTTTAGAAAACAAAATTTTTTCCCCCCTGTAATCCAGGGGCCAGTCTAAGATCATATATTGCATTCTGTTGTTCTCTTTTCGCCACCTTTAATCTGGAAAGGGTCTTATTTCATGACTAACATTTTGGAGGACTGTATCTCAGTCTTATTGTTTCCTCATGATTTCATTCAGCTTATGCATTTTAGTAGGAATATTGCATAGGAGATGTGATATTTTTCTCAGGGCCATCATAGCAGGAAGTACATGATATTGGCTTGTTCCATTATTTGTGATGATAAATTTGACCACCTGTTGAAAATAGATGTGGGAAGCCAAAAAGTGACTTCCAAAAGATAGCCACATCAAATCCTTAGAACCCATGAAAAAGATCCTTTGCAGATGTGATTAAGTAAAGGATCTTAAAATGAGATAATCTTGGATTATCTTGATGGGCCTAAATGCCATCATGGTGGTGTTATAAGAGAGAGGCAAAAGGAGATGTGACACATAGAAGAGGAGGAGTCAGTGTGACAGGAGAGATTGGAGTGATATGGCTACAAGCTGTGGAATCCTGGCATCCACCTGAAGCTGAAAGAGACAGGCATGAGTTCTCCCTTTGAGCCTCTACAGTGGGCATGGCCCTAGCACCTTGATTTTGTGTCTTAGCTTTCGCTCTGAGAGAATAGATATCTGTGCTTTTCAGCTACCAAGTTTGTGGTAATTTGTTACAACAGCCACAGAAAATGTATATAGGGGCATTCATCAATTTAGAGAATTTCAGTGGTACTACAACTGAACTTAGAAAATATGGTTTTACCTAAGAGTGATTGCTTATCCAATTAACAAAAAGTTTTCTATACATTTAATGCAGTTATAGTTGTACCTAGGTATAGGGGAGGTAACTTGATACTGGTGACTTTTCAGTTGAGAGAGTAGTTTAATATATTTAAGTATACTTTAAAGGTGAAGAACCTGAGTCATCTTCCTAATTCCTAATGAATGAGTTACATATAATTGGGCAGTGACTGACATTGCATTATTTCTGTTAATTAAACACTTTGGGGGTAATGCAAATGGTGCAAGCCATACTAACCCATTAACTTTATTTATTTATCTATTTATTTATTTATTTAAACATGTCTTTATTGATTTCAGAGAGAGGAAAGGAAGGGGGAGAGAGAGAGATAGAAACATCAATGATGAGTCATTGATCGACTGCCCAGCCCTCAACCCGGGCATGTGCCCTGACCGGAATCGAACCTGATCTCCTGGATCCTAGGTCGATGCCGATGCTCAACCGCTGAGCCACGCCCAGCCGGGCTCTAACCCATTAACTTTAAAGGAGACTAAAGAGGCATGACCATGAAATACGGGATGGGAAATGTAAATTTATTCTTCAACTTTATCTCAAGAACTTAAATGTGGGTCTCTGTATTATTTTATAGAAGTCTGATTTGGGGTTAGTTGAATGGTTTCTGCCTTTCCTCAAGTATGTCCTGGTTCAGGAGGAATAAGCCACATGCATCTTTCTTACTCAGAATGAAATATCTCAGTATTCATGGTGAAAACTCAATTCCACACTTGGATTAAAGGGGTTAGTTCAGCAAATATTTATTTCGTTCTTATTTATGTCATGTAGCCATGGATTTGCAGCATACAGAACAAAGTGCTTTCCATTGTTAAGCTTAGATTTTGGTGAAGGGAGTCAGACAGTAAATTACCAAGTAATACGTAGAACTTCAGATGGGGGTAAGTACTATGAAAAAATATTTCAGGAAGAGAAGGGGAGGGAGATGCAGACTGCCTGGGAGGGTGGGGAGTGCTGGCTGCTTCTGCAGAGAAGGCTTCATATTTGAGCAGAGCTCGTAAACAACCACTGGACAAGGGAGAAATCACAAGGGAAATGAGAAGATACTTTGAGAGGAATGAAAACAAAAACACAACATACCACAATTTACGGGATGAAGCAGAAGCAGAGCTCATAGGGAGATTTATAGCTGTGCATGCCTACATTAAAAAAGAAAAAATCTAAATTCATAATCTAACAGCTTACTTCAAGGAATTAGAAAAGAAGAGCAAACCTTACCTAAAGCCAGCAGAAGGAAGGAAATAATAAAGATTAAAATGGAGATCAACAAAACAGAGTATAGAAAACAATAGAGACACAACAAAACCAAAAGTTGGTTTTTGTTTTTTTTCAAAGATCAACAAAATTGACAGAGCTTTGGCTCTACTGACTAAGGAAAGAAGAAAGAAGACATAAGTAACTAAAATCAGAAATGAAAGTAAGGATGTCTCGACTGGCCTTACAGAAATAAAAAGGACTCTAAGACAATGCTATAAACAATTGCATTTCCAATAAATTAAATAACCTAGTGAAATGGACAGATTCCTGGGAACATAAAATTACTAACTCAAGGAAAAATAGAAAATTTAGCCCGGACTGTGTGGCTCTGCCGATGAGCATTGACCTAGGATCCAGGAGATCAGGGTTTAATTCCCCGTCAGGGCACATGCCGGGGTTGCCGGCTTGATCCCCAGCAGGGGGCATGCAGGAGGCAGCCGATCAATGACTCTCATCATTGATGTTTCTCTCTCTCTCCCTCTCCCTCCCTCTCTCTGAAATCAATAAAGACATTTTAAAAAAAGAAGAAAATTTGAACAGACCTATAGCAAGTAAAGAAAGAGAGTCAGTAATCAAAAGCCTCAGCAAAGCCCAGCAGTGGCTTCACTGGTGAATTCTACCAAACATTTAAAGAAGAAATAACACCAATCCTTCTCAAACACTTCCAAAAAACTGGAGAGGAGGGAACATTTGTTAACTCATTCTGTGAGGCTAGCATCACCCTGATACCAAAGCCAGATAGAATCCACAAGAAAACTATAGACCAGCCTCCCTTATGAATATAGATGCACAAATTCTTAAAGTACTAGCAAACTAAACCTAACGGCATTTTAAGAGTATTATATACCATGACTAAGTAACTGGAATTTAATCCCAGGAATGGGAGGGTCATTCAGCATAAGAAAAAAATAGTTAATGTAATATACCACATTAGAACAAAGGAAAAAATGTACACGATCATCTCAATTAATGCAGGAAAAGCATTGGCAAAATTCATCACCCTTTTGTGATAAACACTTGGTAAACTAGGAATAGAAGGGAACTTCCTCAGTATGATGCAGAACATTCATGAAAAACCCACAGCCAACACCATGTCATACCATTGGTAAGGACAAGGCCTTTCTCCTAAGATCAGGCACCAGACACAGGTGCTCACTTGGACCACCGCTCCTCCCCATTGTAGTGAAAGTTTTAGCCAGAACAACTAGACTAGAGAAAGGAAACCAGGTATCCGAATCTGAATTAAGAAGTATGTTTGAGCAGAAGTGTTGAAATGACTAAAACCTCATTTCTTGCTCTAGGAATTTCATGGGGTTATACTAACTTGTGGGTTAAGATTAAATTAAAAACTGATTTATATTGAACAACATTCCTCAAATTAAGTAAGCATAGGAGTGTTTTCAGTTATCATCAGGGTAGGTTGTTAAATGCTGTTGAATATTCCTCACAGCCTGCTGTGAAACCCATTGTTTGCCACAGTTGTTCCATCTTGATCTTTGAGTTAAATGGATGCAATGACTGCCGTCATTGTTTTGTGATAGTTTTTCTGTTCATTTCTTGGTTGGCTGAAATTCGTCTTTCGTTAAGAAGAGTTGGGGAAATGTAGTTCTTAACTTCTGCACATTGAAATGTTTATATTGCTGTTATACTTGATACTGGAATAGGATTTTGATGTACAATTTTTTATCACACCTCTTCCCCTGAGGATTTTGTAAGCATTGCTTCACTATCTTCTAGCACTACCTGTTGCTGTGGCAAAGAGAGAAGCCAGACTAATTTTTTTCACTTTGTAGATGGATTGAGCTTTTTCTGCCTGATAGACAAAAGACTCCTTCTTTATCTTTGGCTCCCAGTAATTCTGTTAGGCTGTGTCATTGACTATTCAATGTCAGTGCACCTAAGATGTGGTAGGGTTTTGGATCCTAGGTCAAGAAGTTTTATGAAGATTTTTTAAAAGATGTATTTCTTAATTTATTGTTTTTTATTTATTCAAAAAATAACTTAGGCATCTGTTACATAATATGTAACCTTTTATAAGAGAATGAAGTGGTTTTAAACAAATTTTTTAAAAAGTTTACTTCCTATTTGGAAAGCTGTAATACTTACTACTTTATCATTTTAGGAAATAAAATAATGGAAAAATTATCCTTTTATGCTGTTATGAGTAAAGTATAAAGTGTGAATTTTTGTATGAATTTTCTGTAAATTTGGCTGAATAACTTCAAAATCTTGATTCCCTTTTCTTTTTATTCACTTTTAAATCTTTTTATTTGTTTTTGTGTGTGTGTTTTTAGGTCAAGTCCAAACAGTCTATCAGCTGAGTCATGATATTGATGTTGGTCGTTTCCAAACACTATTGGAATGTTTTACCAGCACTTTTGAAACAGTGAAACTTTTAGCATTTGATCTTCTGATGAAGTTGCCAAAAACAGTTGTACAATCGCAGGTATTTGGACTTTTCTTGTGTAAATGTGTATGCATGAAAACTTGAAAGCAACAGATAAAACAGTCAGCGGATTGTCCAGGCTCTTTGCATCTGCCCTCTTTCATTTTCTGGCTGTTTTGGTTATCATTAATCCATCTACTGTTGTGGGGTGGTGGGATAGGAGGTGGGGGAGGAGGAAATATCGTAAGAGAAAACAAAGTCCGAATCAGTGAGCTTTGTTTTTTTGTTTTGATTAAAACTGGAGGTGTAGGAAGCAGTAGGTTTTATTGTTTACGAGATGATTGGCAGATTTCAGTTAACTGTGGCCTCTCCAGTTTCCTTGGGCATGTTAATAGTTGATCAAAACACATCACTTACAGTAACTTGAGTAAGAAGTTTTGAGATAATCTCCCTGCTTGGTAGACTGGGAAGCTGAGTGTTAAGTGCGGTAGAAAACATGTTTCTGATTTTCCAACAAGCAATAGCTAAACTGAGACTGAAACTCAGAGTACTTGAGATTAAAACAGTTCTGTCCCTGGGCGGTCTACTCCATCCCCAGCTCCCACTCTCTTCCTGACCCTTGACACTTCCCACCTTGGGGTGGGAACCAAAGATGGGTTTGGGAATAGGGGCACAGCATGAGGATGGGTCTGCAGGGGGCTACCTAGGTCAGTGTTCTGCTTTGCCCTTTAGGTTTATTCTGGGACTGTGAGGTTACCAGCAGCTGTGGGGTCTCTGGCTCTAGAGCTTTGCCTTGGCTTTCTGTTAGAGCTGTTAGGCCAGGGGTGCCTGCAGGGGCTGCAGCTGGGGCCTAGGGCTCTAGCTATTAGGCTTTATTTAGGGCCTGGCAGCTTATAGGTGCAGTGGGATTCTGCAGGAGCACATGCCAGAAAGCTGTCTGTTCCCATGGCTTCTAGATGGCATTGCAAGATCTCATAGTATCTTTTCTAATTTGGATCCATATTGGAGTTGCTTTCCAGTGTTCACCTATCCCTGTGGTCTTTCTGGTGCCCTGGTAAGCAGAAGCTTCTTTGGTGCTTCAGCTTCTAACTTGTACCATATAGAGTTCTTCAAGAACATACTTCCTCTTATTCATTTTCTTTCTCCTCTCCCACACCTCCCTCTCCCTTACTCCTTACCTTTCATCACACTGTAGCCTTGTAATATACATTTATATTTATATTTATAAAATTATGCCTCATTCTTGGCAAATATTTTGAGAGTATCTGGAGTGAGGAAGGTACATTATAGCACCTATATGAAAGACCTGTTCCTTACATGAATTATGAAGGGTCCTCAGGGGGCCTCTGTAGCTCCAAGTTGATAAACATGTGATTGGTATAGAGACAATAACCATGGAATTCAGAAAACTTAGTAGCACGTATGGCTTGCTGTAGGATTTTGGTGGTTCTAATATCTGGTCTGGCTTGCATATTAGTAAAATGAACTTAGAAATAGGCATTCAAGATTTTAAAATATTAATTACATACTTCCAAAGTCTGTCTTTGGGTATGCCTTCTATTAATATGTAATTAACTTTTTAATATAGTTAAATTTAAAACATTTTCGAATGCTAATCTAAGCTAAGGACTTGTATATATATTTGTATATTTATGTATATGTATATATATATATAGTATATGTGCATATATATATAGTACATGTGTGTGTGTATATATATATATGTATGTATGTTTGTATATGTATATATAAAGTCTCTTGCCCTTCTTGTGGAGCTACATATCCAGGGTCTTTATATCATATTTTGATTGAGCTCAGATGGTAGAATAAAGATATTTTATATTCCAAAGGCTATCAGAGACTTAACTGTCAGTTACAAAAAATGGCTTATATGCTTAATTGGTTCTTTCAAATTCTATTTAGATCACTATCTTTAAGTTTTTTTAGGTTCTAAAAAATTAAACATATGAAAAGGCAAAGAATTTAAATGGAAATAAACTGATATTTGAATTAGTACATTTGACGTCATTAATCATGAGTGTACCTATAGTGAAATCCAAAATTAAGTTTAGAATGATTTTTTTCTTATATTAGACATCATGGAATAATCCTATTTGAATCAATATTATTGAGCAGTGAAACCCTGAGTTGCAGCATGGGGAACATGCACCTTTGTCAACCTTGGAGTTGGGACAGGACCCACGTCTTCTGTCCTCAGCCCACTGCCTTCCCATCCTTTGTTCTGTCTTTAGGATGGGCTGTGTGAGTGGATCTGTATATGAGATATAGGTGTAGGAGCTCTGACGCAGAATTTCTGAGGCTTAACTGATTATTTTCCATGCATATACATGGATCTTTGCCAGGAACAGCCTGGTGGCTTTGCATTTTTGTATGGGTTGGTATTTTGTTCCTTTGAACTAGCTCTATGGGAAGGGGAAGGAAGAAGGGCAGGAGTATGCAGCCCAGGTAAAACTACCCTGTATATGCAAAAGAACTCTGGTCTAAGTAGAAATAACGGAGACAATCTGGCTATAGTCATAGCAGAATTCTGCAGGAAAAAGTAAACTTTTGCTGAAGAAAGGGGTACTTTTTAAAAAAGCTTCATCAACATTGAATTCCCCAACTGATATTAAGACCCGAGTCACTAGAACTGATTAATAATAATCATTAATCACTATAATAAAAACTCTAACCTATATTTAGGGAGAAGGGGAATTAATGTTCTTATTGAGTTAGAGTTATGTGGCAGGCCTCTTTTTAAATATGTATTATTCCTTCAAATTAAAGAAATGTTTTCGTGACAGTTACTGAGTATGTGCTTTATTCTAGGATTCAGAGAAACTGCAGGGTTTATTCCAGGCAGCATTGGCGCTCAGCACCAGCACCAAACCATATGACTGTGTCACAGCTTCCTGCCTACTGAACTTCTTGATCTGTCAGAATGCTCTGCCATCATCTTTGTCTGCTTACTTAAAAGCTCAGCAGGCTGCTTGTGGAAATGGAGATGAGGCCACTGCTGTGGTGGAAAGTAACACATTAATAGGTTTGTACTGAGTAAATGACCTTTTGCTCTTATTTATCAAAACCAGTATCTTACACGCATTCACTATTCATTGGGTTAGAATATTTAATGGTTAAACATTTCTTTGTGGTTTTTTATTGAGGAGTTTACGAGCATAGTAGTTTACCAGCATATAAAAATACCACTAGTTTCTCTTGCACATAGTTTACTCAGCTGTAACATTTGTTTTTAAACAGATGTTCATGTTAAATAAGTAGATACAAATGTACAATAATAAAGCTGTTATTGAACTCTTTCTGTACTAAAAATTACTTTATTTTCTGAAGAAATTTTACCATGACTGTAGCCAGATCGTCTTTGTTGTTTCTGTAGAGAGCAGAGCATTCCTTTGTCTGACAGGGTTTATGTTTTAACTGCCTTGTCATACCCCTGCTTTTTACTCTTTCCATACAACCAGTTCTAAAATCTAGTGTCTGAGTTAGTTTAGATCTAGTGATTTTCAACAAATATTTGTTAAGGATTTATTTACTTAATTTTATGCTAGTAAATTTCCATTTTTGAATTGTACTGGAAATAAGGACAGATAGGGATTTTTACTTTAAAAAAAAAAAAGAGAGAGGTCAGATAGAGAGTTGAAAATTATTTTCTCTAAAGTTTTAAAACGTTATGCAGTATTTCAAACATTCAAAGAATACTTAAATATATATAGGATTTAAATAGTAATAATATAAAAATTTAACAAGTTTTGTTCCCAAGCTAGGTAATAACATCCAGCGTAAGAAATACAACAGCGGCCATACCTTTGAAGGCTCTTCTTTATCTTAGCTCTCTCCCCACCATATAATTCCTGTTCTGTGTTTTATATTAATCTTTCTTCTTGTTTTTACCAAGGTTTACCACCTGTGTATATATCATTAAATAATATATTATTTACTTTTACATGATTTTGAATTTTATATAAATACTACTATATATTATATACATTTACTAAAATTTATTAATGCATTTTCCTGTTGATGGACTTCTTTTTTCTAAATAAATAATGCCAATGGGAACATTCTCATACAGACTTTCTAATGCACATATCTAAGCGTTTATAGTAAACAAACAAGTAGACTAGCCTAGACATAAAATGTGTGCATCTTCAACTTTACTAGATGATGCCAAATAGATTTTCAAATTAGACTCCCACCTACAAATTATGAGAGTTTTGTTGCATCACATCATCACCATAACTTGCTTTTGTTAGATTTTAAAAATTTGCAGAATATAAAATGGTATCTCATTGTGGTTTAATCTTGTCTTTTTCTGATTACTAATGTAATTGAGTGTTTTTTTATATGTGTGTTCACTTTTCCTCTTCGGTGAAATGCTTGTTGATGTCTTTTATTCAGTTTCCAATAGGGTTGTCTGTCTTTTTTCTGTTGATTTTTAGGAGTTCTTGATATGTTCCTGATATTAATAATTTACTAGTTATGCACAGCCCTAAAGTTTAAAATATAATCCTCTCCTTCTGAGTGGTGAGAGGAGACATCTACCATGTGGGATAATTGGATATCCTCATGTAAAGGAATAAAATTAGACCTACTACCTCATACCATATAAAAAATTAGCTTAAAAATGAATCAGAGGCCTAAATGTTAGCACTAAAAGAGAAAACTTAAAAGAAAACATGGGTGTAAATTTTTGTGATCTTGAGGTTGGTAGTGGTTTGTTAGATATGATACCCAAAACATAAATAACAAAGAAAAATTAGATAGATAAATTGGACTTCATAAACATTTTTTGTGTCAAGATCACCATCAAGAAAGTGAAAAGAGCCCTGACCGGTGTGGCTCAGTTGGTTAGAGCGTCATCCTGTACACAGAAAGGTCACAGATGCAATTCCCAGTCAGGGCACATACCCAGGTTGTGGGTTTGATCCCTGGTTGGGGTGCATTCTGGAGGCAACTGATACGTGTTTCACTCTCACATCGATGCTTCTCTCTCTCCTTCTCTCTTCCTCTCTCTCTTTAAAAAACAACATAATAACAGAAAGTGAAAATAAGATGTTCAGAATGGGAATAATATTTGCAGATCCTTTGTCTGATAAGGCATTTGTATCCAGAATATATAAAGAGCTTTTACAGCTCACTAATAAAAGGATGTAACCAAATTTAAAAGTGGACAAAGGATCTGAATAGGCATAAAAAGACAAACGTGAACAATAAGCACATGAAGAGATGTTCTATTCAACATCATTAGCCAATCAAATGCAAGTCAAAATCGCAGTGAGGAAGTACTTCATACCCTGTAGGATGATAAAAATGAAAAATAGACAGTAGCAAGTGTTGCTGAGGCTGTGGAGAAAGGGATCCCTCATGACTGCTGGTGGGAATGGAAAATGGTGTAGCCACTTTGGAAAACAATCTGGCGGTTCCTCAAAAGATTCAATATAGAGTTACTATATGACTCCACAGTTCCACCTTTTGGCATTGTCTTAGTGAGCTCAGGCTGCTGTAACAAGATACATAGACTGGATAGCTTAAACAGACATTTATTTTTTTCAGTTCTGGAGACTGGGAAATTCAAGATTAAGGTCCTGAGTGCTTCCATCCCTGGTGGGGACCTTCTTCCTTGCTTACAGACAGGAGCCTTTTTGCTTTGTGCTCACATGGAGGAGAGAGAGACAACTCTTACCTTTCTTCCTTTTCTTATAAGGACGCTGATCCCATCAGGGAGGGTCCCATTCTCATGACCTCATGAAAACCCCACCTCTAAATATCACCACATTGGGGTAGGGCTTCAACATCAATTTTTGGGGTGGGGATACAAACATTCAGTTCATAATGGGCATATACTTAAGAGAAATGAAAACTATGTACAAACAAAAACTTATACACAAATGTTCATAGCAGCACTATTCATAATAGCTAAGAAGTAGAAACAGCCCACATGTCTATGAGTTGATGAATGGGTAAGCAGAATGTGGTATATCCATATAATAGACTATTTATTATTCATCTGTAAGAAAGAATGAACTCTTTTTTTAAAAAAAATATATCTTTATTGATTTCAGAGAGAGAAAAGGAGAGGGAGAGAGAGAGAGAGAGCTGGAAACATCAATGATGAGAGAGTCATTGATCGAGCCCACAACCCAGGCATGTGCCCTGACCGGGAATCGAACCCCGATCGCCTGGATCCCAGGTCGACGCTTAACCACTGAGCCACGCCTGGCCAGGCAAGAATGAACTCTTGATACATGCTACAACATGGATGAACTTTGAAAACATTATGCTAAGTGAAAGAAACCGCATGTTGTATGATTCCATGTATCTGATATGTCCAGAACAGGCAAATCTGTAGAGACAGGAAGTAGATCAGTGGCTGTCTAGAGCTGGAGAAGGTGAGCGGTGCGGGGGTTTCAATGAGGGAGAACAGAAATGTCCTAAAATTGATTGTGGCAATAACTGCACAGCTCTGTGAATATACTAAAGACCACTGACTTGTACACTAAATGTATAAATTATGTGGTATATTATTTATATCACAATAAAGCTATTAAAAAACTCTGCTATCCAAACAGCACATGGCACATGGTTGGGCCTCAGGTCTAATACTCCAGGGAGAGGATTCTAGGAGGAATGATTCAGTGAATGCTGTAAATGGATCCAGGAAGTTAGGGAAAGACACTTAGTTCTGCCTTAATTAGAAATGGGTAACAGACTGGATAACCTTGAAAGATCTTTTTTAAATTCAAAACATCTAGTATAAAGATCAGTTGAGTAGGGTGTTTTCATGGTAATTCTTCTGCTGTTCACAAATTTATAAGTGTGCTTTGAAACTTGCATTACTTTGTTTTGTTTTTTGTTTGATTTTCCTAGTTATCAAATGCTTGTTGGAAAACCTTGAGGAAGAAATATCTCAGGCTGAAAATTCTCTGCTTCGGGCAGCAGCAGCATTTCCAATGTATGGGCGAGTTCACTGTATAACAAGGGCTTTGCAGAAGTTACCTCTAAAGTAAGTGTATCCACAGTTCTCTCCTGAACACTTATTTCTGGCCTTTAAACTCTTATTGGAATGTGTCCTGGGAAAGGAATGTATGACCTTACAGATAATGAAAAATTAGCTTAAAGATGTACATATATACACATTTTTATTTTGTAAATATAGATTGCATAAATTTGAACCCAAATTTTTCCAATTCCTTTTATCTATTCATTTCTAGTTACAAAATGTGATGTTTACTTTAGTATAAACGTCCCTAATGGCCTTGTTGCAGCAGCCTGCAGCTGGTGAGTGAGTGGAGACCTGTGGTGGAGAAGCTCCTTTTGATGTCCTACAGGCTTTCCGCTGTGGTGGCTCCCGTCATTCAGAGCTCGTCCCCAGAAGGCCTCGTCCCAATGGACACTGATTCAGGTCAGCAAACAAACAAAGCTCCACTTCATATATTTTCCTTTCCTTTAAAATTTTTCCCCTAATCATTTCTTTGGAGAGTTATACATGCTAAATAGGGAGAAAAGCAATTTTATTAGTGATATTTCTGTCTTTTAAAAAATATTTTTAAGTGTTACAAAATGAGCGAGGCACTTCCTTCCCTGGGGTAAATTGGGCTTTCTAATATTGTCATTTCAGAACATAACCTACCAGGTAATTGCTGGGACTAGGAGAGTGGGTGGTATAAATTACAGACATGGCAACTGATGGGATTCAGTCAGTGAAGGCAACATTTTAGGAATCTGAAAAGGGCAAAGATCTTTTAATTAAAAAAAAGGGGGGGGGGCGGCCAGGTAGCTCAATTGGTTAGAGCGTCGTCCCAATACACCAAGGTTGTGGGTTCCATCCCTGGTCAGGGCACATACAAGAAACAACCAATGAATGGATAAATAAGTGGAACAACAAACTGATGTTTTTCTCTCTCTTCCTCTCTCTCTAAAATCAATGAATAAATTTAAAAAAAATATGAGGAGATACTCACAATGCCCCCAGTTGATAGGAACTTCATCTGTCTTTTCCCTCCCAACCCTGTGTCTTTGCAAATGGCCCTACCAAGGTCTGTTCATGCAGGGTAGGAGCCTAGGGCTGCTTGACATCTTGTGCTCCTTATATTTAGCCTGTCTCTACATTCTTTCAGTGTAACCCTTAAATATCTTTCAAATCTCTTCTTTTTATCTGCATCTTTTTACATTACTCTAGGCTTTTATCTTATCTTGTTTGTACTTCTCCAGGGGCCTCTCAACTGGTTTCCCCACATCTACCCTTATCTCCTCCTTGCTACACTGAAAGTAATCTTTTCTAATCATATAATTCATCATGTTACACATAATCTTTACTTGACCCTGTGCCCTGCCCCACCCTACCCCCCTCGTTTAAAATACTTTAGTGATCTCAAACCAGGTCATGCAATAGTTTGGCTCCTGCTACCTTGCCAGCCTTGTCTCTTACTGCGCTCACTTCTCATAGAGCGCTGCTTCATGACGCCGCTGCAGTTTAACAGGGATCTTGCCTATGTTTTTTCCCCCTTGTGCCTGGTAGAAATAGGTACACAATAAGTATTTGTTATAATGAATTAATCAGTTAATGAACAGTTTCTAAAAGGGTGGGAACTAAACTCAGTGCCTGGGATGTCTTACGTGGTATCTAATGATACACCTGTGCTGCCGTGGGCCAAAGGCATTGGCTGTTAGCACCTAGAAAATCGCGAATTTTCATTTGGTCCAGAAATAAAGACTGGAGTACAAAAGAGAGCCTTGTATTAAAAACACGCTGAATATATCCTAAACACACCGTGTCATACAAGGCAGTACCTTGGGCTGATAAGTAACCTGGAGGTGTGTGTTTGCATAGAAAATGTTAGATTTTGTTCTTTACTAAAAATGAGTTGGAAAATTGGTGATAGGTGGTTCATGATATTAAGGCATAGTGATTTATTTACTTCGGCTGACAATCTAAATACCAAAATTTGGTGCCTTAGTTTTCCTACTGAGTACATAGGAATAAAGAACATCCAGTCTTAGTGCTGATATTTGGATCAGGCAAGTACCAGCACAGGGTGGGGCAAAAGTAGGTCTATAGCTGTTTGTATGGAAAATAATACAATAATTAATAAATAATAATACAAGAATAACTTTGTGTTTCATGTACTCACAACTGTAAACCTACTTTTGCCCCACCCAATGTATTCTGGATGAGAAATCTTGACTATTTGTTGTCACCTGTTGTGAGTAGGGCCTGCAGAGTATGCTAAAATTGTGGTTATTAACATTTAAAACTATTTATCGATCTCAGAAACTTGTCTGTGGTGCACTGATCTTTTCTTAATTTTGCCTTTTCTTTTTTCCTCTGGTTTTGTCCATTTTTTGTTTGTTTCCCCCCACATTGTATGCCATGCATTCTGAATTCTTTGAAAAAAGTCTCCTAGAAAACCATAAAAGTGAATGGCAGGATTCTTAAAATTTTACTCTGATCATCCCTTTTTTCTTAGTCCTTTCATGGTTTCTTTTGGGCCAGTGTTACTTTTTCATGGCTGTCACAATTTGTTTTTAGCAAAATCTCATGGAAACCATAAGAGAATGTAAGATGTTGATTGAATTATCATGATAGCAGTTTGGGTCTTTGTCTTTTCCATAATACCTAAAATATAAGTGTATGTAATAGACATTCATTCTTTGATTTGTTCTTTGATTTGTTCATTGGTTTCAGATAATTACCTGTTGTTATTTTCTTTAAGAGTGTGAGCCTGGCTAGCTCTTTATTACCTAGTCATCTGTTCATTCCTTCAGTCCATGTTACTGAACCTCTGCCATGAGCCAATTTTTATTCCAGGCACTGGCCACTCAGCAGTGAACAGACAAAGTTTTGTATTCATGAAGCTTACATTTCCTGATCCAGTGAGTGTTAGGGAATAAAAATGAAGTTTAATATAATACTAGGACTGTAAATCATACTTAGAAAGCAGTATATTATATAACACATTTAAAGCCAAATATGGAATCTTTATAATATGATTGTTTTTGTTGGTGATGGGGTTTCTTTTATGTCTTTTTAACTTTCTACCTTTAAACCTTGATAACATACAATGCAGATATGGAAACAACCTCTTAAAACAAAATTTATAAAAGTTTATTGCTCTTCTTTTGCATGATTGAGCACCACATTGAGATTCTTAGACAGCACTAAGAAAAGCAATGTGAATGGAATGGCAGCCTCTGTCCTATGGACAGTTTCTGTTGTGTTTTTTGGCCTCTGCTTCAACCTCCTTACTATATTTGCCATATTTAAAAAGTACACTCAGTGTTATTAAGACTTATATAAATCATTTTCACATCATCCATCCTATGAGCCCCTTCTAATAGAACTGATTGTCAAGTATTGAAAACTACAAAATGTTTGAGGCCAAATATCTCCAAGAAAAATTGGCACGTGGTGTGCAACTGGAGTTTTATGGACTGTCATCTCTCTCCCTCAGAGTCAGCAAGCCGCTTACAGATGATTCTGAACGAGATTCAGCCACGAGATACTAATGATTACTTCAATCAAGCCAAAATATTGAAAGAACGTGATAGCTTTGATTTGGAGGACTTGAATGCTAGTGTATCAAATATTGACACTTCTGCAGAAGTCCAAGGTAGCATATATAAAATCAGTATTGTAATCAATGTTTAAGTTTCAAAGAAACAAAAGGAATAAAATGCTCTTTTTATATAGTAAATCAGAGGCTGCAGATATGTACAGAACATTTTTAGAAAATGAAATCTTTTTTGAGCTTATAAATGAACTTTTACCAGAAAATGGAGTGCCTTAGTACAGTATATAAGGTGCTACAACAAAAAGCCTTTGAGCGCTGAAACCTGTCTTGACAGCCAGGTGATGTAAGAGCAGCAATGCACGGTGAACTTGGGTTTGGGCAGCAGTTGGCCTCTCCCAGTGTGGGTCATTGTCATCTGTTGTGAGAGACCTTATAGTCAAGCAGCCTTTTTTAAAAAAATATATCTGTATTCATTTCAGAGAGAGGAAGGGAGAGGGAGAGAGGGAGAGAGAGCTAGAAACATCAATGATGACATAATCACTGATTGGCTGCCTCCTGCACGCCCCCTACTGGAGATCGAGCCTGAAACCCGGGCATGTGCCCTGACGGGGAATCAAACACCGATCTCCTGGATCCTAGGTTAATGATCAGCCGCTGAGCCACGCCCCACTGGGCTCAGGCAGCCTTTTAAAGGAAACAAACTTTGTTACTCAATAAAATGTGAGGTTCTCTGTTGTACTAAGCCTCCAGAATTTGAGCTCTAACTGATTATTTTCTCATTAGTTGTTATTTTATAATTTTCCATAATGCCACAGAAAGTCATCAGAAGCAATAATATCTTAGCGACTTATTACACATTCTGCATTCTCCACTAGATGGTGATATTGTCTTGTAAAACTTTATGTGTTTTTCCTTAATTATACAAAATGACATAAATATATGCTTATCTTATTAGTTTCAAACAATACCGAGGTAAATATGATTTAAAAGCAAATTAAAGCCCTCCTTCATCCCTAATCCCACTTCTTCCCTCTGAATGTATCTCCTTTTAGACATGTTCTAAGTATTTATGCGTATGTACATTTATCCTTTTAGTGTTTAGTAGGCTTTTAAAAACAAGTGGGATTACATTGTAAATATTGTTTTGTTTACTTTTCCTTTTAAATTTAATAATTTGTCTTGTATTTTTTTTAATGTCAGTACTAAAATATTTCTAAAACTAGTAAAAGAGAGTAAGGATAATTCTAGCTTATTTGCCATGGAATTTAAATATATTTTGAAAGTGAATTTGTATTTTCCTTTGATTTAAGTAGTTCTGTCCTCTTTTACTGATATAATAGACACCCTCACCATAATAAATAATGAAATATGTTTTTTATAGTCACATTTTATGGATGACTGATATTTCATTAATTTCCAAGATTAGACTTAAGTTTTAAAACTATTGTATTTTATTTTGAAAATGGTATACTAAAAAAATACTTAGCATGATTTCTACTCATAGGACATGCTCAACAAATGTTAATTTTCTCCTGAGTAAATATAATTTATGACAAATTGGTTTGCTTAAGCAGATTATTCTTGGGGAAATTATGAATAAGCTTGTTCTAAGAAACCTGGATGTGAGCAATCAAATGTTGCAATAGATATTTTTTTTAAGGTAAAGAAGGAAAAACATGTGATGTAACCGCTCAGATGGTGCTGGTATGCTGTTGGAGAAGTATGAAGGAAGTTGCTTTACTTTTAGGCACACTGTGCCAGCTTCTACCCATGCAGCCTGTGCCAGAATCTCCTGATGGATTACTGACGGTGGAGCAGGTAGGGTAGATGTTTATTTCACCTGGTATAATCTCTGGTCAAAGTACAGATCACAAACTTTTATTTATAACTCAACCTAAAAAAAATAAATTTTTTTGGAATATTTCTTGAATAAAATCATACAGATGTCAACTAAAGAAAGTTTATGGTAGTTAAAGAATTGGACCTTGCAATACATTTCAAAACAATGGCACTTTTAGAAACACTTTTATTTTTCTAAGTATATAAATAACTGTAGATTTTGCCTCACTTTTAACTTCAATATTATCATTTTCATTTTCATTAACACATACAAATTTAAATTTTAAATTTAAATGAAATTGTCTACTTAGTAAAACTCCACAAACCTCTTAAATTTTGCAAAGAAAAATAGTAACATATTGGTTGATTATGGATCTCTTGTCTCCCACTACATTGATGATAAAGTTGTAGTCACTTTGGTTTGTTGGCTGACTTTTATTTTAAGACCACAGAGTTAGTTCACCATCTGGGACTGTTCAAGTGACTTAGTGCAGTGTTTACAAGAAATTAGCTTACCATAAGCATTTCATTTGGAAATATTTTAGATTTATTAGATTTCTGTTTTTTAATTGATTCCCTCTTCCTCTCCATATGGTTTCAACAAATTCCATTTCCCACCATTTTCCAGCAAAGATATATAACATATACTTTCATTTTTAACCTTTTTCAAATAAAGATAATTTTTCCCTTAGGGTGTTAGAACATTTGAGAACAAAACAAACATTGTAGTATGCTAATGCTGATTATTTTTGTAATAGTTCCATGGAAATAATGCTAATTTTTTATTCTCACACTCTCTTAGGCTTATGTGCTTGCATCTGGTTAGCAGCTGGGCTTGTGATGTTGCAAGGCCTTGAGAAGGGGAATGGCAGAGGAATAGTACTCTGCCAGCATCATCGTGTTCCTTAGTCTCTTCCAAATCAAATAGGTGTTAGTTGGTAGAGTCACTTGCAGTCATTGCTAGTGACTGGCTATAGCGTGCATGCCAACACCTTCGCTGAGGAATCCAGCTGTGATTAATAATTACTTCACTGATGGTCACCATCCTACTAAGCAGTAAACATATGCTAGTTTAACTTCTCAACTTTTCAAGGACAAGTTAAAACATACAGTTTTTTGGGTTTTTTGGATAGTGTTTACAAAAAATAAGAGAAACATATTTTGCTTTTACTATGACTGAGAAAGACCTGAAAGTTTCCTATGGAAATTATTTTGCCTCGACATCTTTTGTATAGCACCCAAATCTTATGAATTTAATTTATGTGGGATAACCATGTTAATATTGGGAGTTAATATAAAATAAGATGTGTGTAAAAGAACAACAGTAACAATGACAAAGAGAGACTCTTATAAACCAAAGAACTTCTAATGACTGTTTTCTTGAATACAAAATAGCATCCTGTTTTTCTGTAAAATACTAATTTCTAGTCTGATGAGGTTTAGTCATTTTCCTATGTTGCTGTTCATATGGTGACCTCACATATATAGGTTTGAGAAGCAATTAACAATTAAATGAATGATCAAGAATGTCCGTGATACTACTGTTCTGACATTGAAACCCTGCCTTCTGTGGAAAACGTTATTCTTGATCATGCTGACTTTAAAGAAATGCCTCAGTTTAGGAGCAGTTAGTCAATGAAAACCCAAAGTCATCAAGAAATTAGTGTTATTTATATTACTAGGGGAGTCCTGCTTTTAAACATAAAATTTTGCTCTATGAAATTCCTTTAAATTAAAAAGACTTTCATGTACTTAAAACTTTTAAGAGTTAAAAAATATAAATGACAGAGAAGAATGTAATTTACATTGGAGTGGCTGGCCATGCCAAAGGTCCACCTTCCTTCCAAGGGCATAGTTGCCCTGGCAACACTAGATCTTCTGTGCACTTAGTGCCAAAGCTAAGAATTTAACAGTCAACACCTTAGGTGAGGGTGACCAGAATAGACCTGCAGAGCAGAGGCAGTGAAGTAGCTTGTAGGCAGAATGCTACCCTTTGTTGGGGAGAATGTAGAATTTGGATTTTTGCCCGAGACCAGTGATAACTGTGATCCGCTTTTCTCTCAATGGATGAAGGAGGCTGTGCCCCACATCCTAAAACACCGATGTTCGGCTTTATGCTTCCTTACTCTCCACTCACCCTTCACTCTTGAAAAACTAGTGTAATTCTGTTGTAATTTGATGTCTTGAATGTAGTTAATAGGGGAGTTCTTTTATAGCCCAGTTCCTTTAAGTCCATCCTTATGGCCCTTTGTTAAAGGGGTGACCACTGAAATCCCACGTACATGAGTGTAGTTTACAACAGGCCAGCAGGTAGTGAGATTACAATGTGGAGATTTTTGTTGCTGTATGCAAACTGGCACTCACTTATAATTCTGAGTATTCGGTGCTGTGTTCACAAACTATTAGAGCTAGAAGGATCACAGAGATGATATTATCCAGCTCCCTTGTACAAGGGGAAATTGAAGCCTTTGGATGTCACCTGGATTGCCCAAGATCACAAAGCTGGTTTGTGGCGGCTCTGGGACAGGAACCCAACCCTTCTCCCTTCCAGCCTGTGTTCTGACATGGCACAGTGCTGCCTTTGTTCTGATCTGCTCGTTGAATTTTTCTTTAAATTTAATTTTCCCTGCTTCCCATACCCAACCACATTTTTGCAGGCAACAGGACAGTAAAGGCAACTTGGTGCTGAACTTTTTAGCAAGTGATTCATTTCCCTAAACCACTTGGGAAGCAGTGTGTCCTCCACAGCTTCAGCCAGAGGAAAATGTGTTCATTCAGAGGCAGTCTGACTTTCCTCCTGCGAGGTAATCACCTAATGAAAGGTTCTTTCATAATGTCCCCTTACAAGGGGCAGAGATAAAACCAGCTTTGAGGGATGTAAGTCAAGACCCTCAAAGAGTGAGCACTACGTGCAACCTTATCTCGCAACTTCCTGACTGGTGTATGTCTAGGTTTCCAGCTGGATGTTTTGCTGAATTACAGCTTTAGCTTGATACATTTTGTTGGTCCTCTTTCCATGGGATATCAGGTATCCAGTTCCTACTGATTTTTTTAAACAGCTTCCTCTACCTGGAGTATCAATTCATAGATATTTATATATTTCCTCAAATATTCCTAAAAAGATGCTTTTGGGCAGGTTTTCAGGCTATTTTCCCCTTCATAGTAATGATTGCCACAGAAATCACACTAATAAAAATAATCACCAACTATTAGAAATTTGGTAATTTTGAAACTCCTGCTTTAGAGCCTCTTGTAATTTTCATGATGCCCATGCTAACTGGTTTTATACTTTCCCCCAGGTCTTTTGTTACTGTTTTAGATTTTCTGTAATGGACTACAAAATGGGAAGTGTGTTTATTAGCATTCATAAGTCTTAAGAAATTGCCTTTTGTATTTTCTTTGCCAACATTTATTTTTAAGAAATTATGAACAGGTATGCATTGAATTGTACTGAATGCAGGATACCATTTTTAAGCTGTAAAATGAAGTTAAGCACATCATTTAGTCACCTATTTCTTGATTGTCTTACTACAAGGGTATTGTGGGAACATAAAGAAAAATAATATATGGTTCTCCGACCTCACAGGGCTTAGAAATATAATAGGGGATACAAGACAGAAAGTCAGCCTAAAGGGACAGCAGTTAAAATGGCACATGGTTAAGAATTTGCTAGAAAGCAAAGAATAAACATTCTAGTAAGAAAATGTTTGAATCATAGTAAACTGTTATCTTTGTTATTATGTAAGCACAATGTTTAAGTGCCAAAGAAATCCCAAATGTTAGTAAGAAAGCACTATTGTAGAAAATGTACCATTTAAAATATTATCTTATTGTAGTGTAAACTTTTATAAACTGTACCATTGAGCCAAAGTGGAGTTTGAAACTCCTATTGGTATTCCTAAGGTTATATAAAGTGGCTGTGCCTTAAAGTCAAACTTTAAATCAAGGTTTAGAATTAATTAAGCCTGACTCTTACTACTTGATGATGCAAAATAAAAGCAAAAATGGTCATTTATTGTTTGCTATTGGAAACAGAACCTCATTCTGTTTTCTGAGGCCAGGACTACTTAGAGTGAGGTCCACCCTTGAGAAGACCATCCACTGGCTACACTTTTGAGGCCTTTGACTTTATTGTATGCTTTTTGGTTTAGGCCCCTTTGATGGGAGTTAAGATAAAGGAAGCAATAAAAGTATGATCTTTGCTTAAGAACTAGATTGTGAACCATTAAGTCCACAGAGAAGCACTTTACCAGTAACATTTATGTTTGTTTTCCTGAAGTCTGTTTTGATGTCTATAATATTTTGAAAAAGGGGAGTTAGAGAGACCCCTTCTCTATGACTCCATGTTTTTACTTTCTGTGGCTTAAAACACCTTCTTAGAAACCTTTTATTTCTGAAATAATAGAAATGATCATCATAACTAGTTAGCTAACTGGTGTTTTCCTGTTGCCCTTTTTTTAGAATTATTGAGCTTCAGATCTATCTTAGTGGTTAAGTTCATATTTAGGACTTGACAATTCTGTTCAAAATATACTCTGAAATGACCATATTGAAGATAAATGATAAGGCTTACTTGACTGTTGCTTTTGATAACTAATAGTATGTGGCCTTTAAAAAATATTAAAAATTAGGAGTATCATCAGGTCTTTACCTGAAAACTTTCGCTGAAGAACATGACCAATGTCACTCTTTGGGACATTAAAGTGTACTATTATATGCTGCTTTTCTGGTTCTTTTTTGTTTTTATATCTGATTCTTATTTTCCTAAATGTATTATTCATTGTCTCTCTCTATAATCAGATGTATTTTGAATATGGAGTATGTCTTTATTTTTCCTCTGTTTGGAAACCTAGACAAAGCTCATATTGAACTGAATTGGAAGCAGGTTATGGGTCTGTTGTGAATGTTTATATTTATTAACTCATTTTAATACACAACCTACGAGGCAATATGTTATCCCCAGTTTATAGATGAGGAAACTGAGACACTTGCTTATGGTCACATTTTTAACTGCTGCTTATACTATTGATCATCTCTGATGTGTTCAGAACATTAGTCACTGTGCTGAGGTAGAAGGTGTTTCTAGGTAAGTATATCTGAGCCACCTTGAATCAGCTTGTCTTTTCTCCATAATGTGATCTGCTGGGGAGACCTGGATCAACAGAAAGCCAGTTATAGCTTTGGTCCTGCGTTTTATTTGAAATCTGGATTTTCTGAAGCTGATAGCCACCAAATCTTAATGGCGTAAAAATACAATCAACCCAACCAATTTAACAGTTAACTTTGTACAAAACCTCATCAACAACTGTTAGTCATGTCTTCTTTAAAATAAATTGTCATATTTACTATTTGTCTAACCTTGCATGCAACATATAAGAAAGCTATTGGGTAGCATTTTGGAAAATTCTGTGGTTCTGACGCTAAGTGATGCCTGTCGATTTTCAGAAGGTCCTTTGCACTAAATCTTGCCATTCACATTTGTGTATCTCTACAAGGTATTTATTGGGAGTTGTTTAATGGGTTGGAGTTTTATTTTGGGAAGATGAAAATGTTCTGTGATGGCTGGTGGTGATGGTTGCACAGCAATGTGGATACTGAATGCCACTGAATTGTACCCTGAGAGATGGTTAAAGTGGCACATTTCATTATGTATGCTTTAACCACAGTAGGTGTGTAAGGATGGGCACCTTGTGTGATTTGCTGCTGGTGTTGAATGGTATGTGCTAACAAAGAACACTGTGAGGTTTGTGAGGCTGGCATAGGAAGGCAGTTCTAACATTGCAGTTCAAGATTGCCAACCCTGGAGCCAGACTGCCTAGGTGTGCATACTGGTTCTACGCTTCTGTTTTGTGTGACCTTGAATAAGTTACTTGGCCTTTCTGGGCCTCACTTTCCCTACTGTAAAATAGAGGTAATAGTACTTATTTCATGGATTATTATGAAGATTAAATTATATAAATGCTTAAAATACTACCTGCCACATAGTAACAGCTGTGGAGGGACATCTACCTCGCTCTGAGTTCTAAATGATATTACTGACATAAAACACCTGTAAATGTAAGCATACATCGAACTGTTTGTTTGTTTGTTTTTAAAGGTAAAAGAAATAGGAGAGCACTTTAAACAACACCTTTTACAGTCCAGGCACAGAGGAGCATTTGAATTGGCTTACACTGGCTTTGTGAAACTCACTGAAGTACTAAACAGGTAAAGCAAAACAAATCCTTTTGTGTACATTTTAAAAAGACTGAATGTACCAACCATGTGCTTGAAGTAGAATGTAGTTGTGGCTTTTGATGTTTAAAAGAATAAGACTTAGTTGGCTTCGAACTCTTGGAAGAAATTGTTTTCTTAGGTTTCATTGTATGATTTACTACAGGCCATTAAGTGAAATGTCCACCCAGTTGCTCTCTCATTGAAAGGTGATTTGAAGCAAATTCAAAGATTTTGCTAAAAATAGCTTTGAAGTTACCATTTATTTTCTTTGAATGAAATGACTGTTTTGTCTTTTGAAAATTACTTGGCATGTGGAATAAAATAAGCCCTCCAGTTTTTTGGATTTGTGTATATTACCGACAGAGAAACACAAGGATTTTATGTTTTTGTGGTGTGTTTTTTTATCGTTTTATCTTATAGAAAAAATTTTTAAGAGCAGTAAATAGACCTAAAAGTATAAAAGATTTTTTCTCCCTTACTTGGAAAAGTGCTTAGGTAGATTTCAATATTGAGCCAATTTATTATTATTTTTTTACATTATAGGTGCTGATAATTTCATTCATTCATATACTAGATTTCCTCCAATGAGCTTCTGAGGAAACTTTAAATTATTTAATGACTAAGTGCTCATGGCAAGTGTTCTCTAAATAAAAGGTAGTATTTTCCAGGAAAACACTTCCATTGCCTGGAAACTTTTTGAAATGAAGAGTTCTGCCAGCGTTGTAGCCTCAGCAAACATTTTATTTTGGGCTGTTAGATACTCCTTGGATATTTTTGACACAGTTTTTTTTTCACACTCCTGGTAAAAACATTTATAAAACATTTTGGCAGTTATGGGCTGCACAGAATATCTTTAAGAGGTACACTAAAAAATGTTCCTGACTTTAAACTATTGATCTTGAAAATATTTGATTACCTTTTCAACTTTTTCTTTCCACATGACTTAGGAATACTTTTTTTCTCACAACAACACACTTCACTGTCTTAAAATCAATTAATAAATATATATTGAACACTAGTTTTGTGCTTAGTACTGTGCTTTGTTTGGGGAATATAATATTTCTTTATAAGATAAGATTCCTATTCTCGAAGAGCTCATGGTTTAATTTGGGAAATAAGCAGGATGAAATTCAAAATATTTTACAAATGGTATGTGATGGGCACTGACTGGTCAGAACAGATGTTGGCTATAAGCATCCAACATCACTGTATGTACGGGAGTGGGGGAGTGTTAGCAGAACACCAACCTGGAAAGTGAGACCAGCACATTTGAACAAGATAATTCAATATAATTGTCAGTATTGGGGTGAAACTTATAAATTCTGTAGGAATATCAGAGAGATATTCCTGGATAGGCTGGTAGGGCTTAATGGAAGAGGTGGAATTTGTGCTAATGAAAGAGTAAGGTTTAAGTAGATAGTTGGAGAAAGGAGGAAATGTGAGCAGATGTTCAGAGGCTAGAATCAGCGTGGCGTATTGTTAGCTGGATAAATAAGTCAGCCTTACTGTAATGGTGGTGGTGGAGGAGTTTCCTAGGCAATATCATACAGGTGGATAGTTGGAGGCCAAATTATGGGTACCTAGAAAGTAGGTTTGCTGTAATAGGGATGGGGGGGAGCATTGAATATTTTTTATCTGAAATAGATAAGAGGGGGTTGTTGCAGAGTAGATAAATAGTAGGAGTATAAGACACAAGCTCTTAGTTCTATTTATATGCATTCTATTCATTGGCAATGAGATTGTAACAAAGTTAATCTCCTTATCTCTGATCACTTCATCTCTATAGTAAAGAAAAGAATATTTGCTCTATTGACAAATCTCTCTGAGTTGTGTGGATCAAGTAAAATGGATATTTATGAAGACCCTTTTGCATTGTAAAATGTTCTACAAATTTAAACCATTATGAGATTGATGTTGGTTGTGGTGTTCGGGTATAAAAGTAGTGTTTTGGTTGAAAGTCTTAGATTACATAGCATGTAATGACAGACTGTAGTGAAAGGAACCTGGAGTCAGTTACAACAGTCTAGATTCCAGGTGATAGAGCTTCCTCTGTGATGGTGGCTCCGGGAATGGAGGTAAGGACTGGTGTCTCTGTTAACATTCAGCCCCACATAGTAACAACTCCACATGTATGAGGTATTGAATGCTTAGAAGGAAAGCTATGGATATATTTTATATTTCATGATTTTATGTGTCAGGAATTAAGGAGTACTCAACTGGTTGATTCTTCTCCTTGGGGTATTTACTAAGTTCAGTCGGTGGCATTCATTTGGCAAACGAGCTGATCAGGAGGGTCCAAGACAGCTTTCTTCACATTTATGGCACATTGGTGGAATAGCCAGAAGACTGGGCCTGGTTGAGACTACAGGTGGCCTCTCAGCATGGCAGTCTTAGGGTAGTTGAGATTCTCGTAGGGCAGCTTACATCCCCCAGAGAGAGCACTCCAGGAGAACTAGGCTGGAGTTGCTGGTCTGTTCTGACCTATCATCAAAATTCTGACGGCACTGCTTCAGTCACATTCTTGTGGTAGTAGCAAGTTTTAAGTCGAGTCCAAATTCAAGGGGAGAGGAATTAGACTCCACCATTTGATGGCAAAGTGGCAAGATCACACTGTACATATGGACGTGGGACTGCAGATAGGGTAGTGGCATCTTCGAAAAAAGCAGTCTGCTAATGAACCAAGTGAATGTGAGTGATGGAGGTCACTGTTCCTGTGCTTTAATTCTTGGAGACCAGAGAGATGGGTTTGACATTAACAAAGGCAAGGAAACTGAAAGAGGGAATTGGTTTAATAAAAATGAATAAATTTGTATGTGTTGAGTGTGAGATTGTGATGGCATATCCTAGTGGAAATATTTAAGTCAGAACTTGGAGATAGGGGATTCGTTTTGGTGTTATAACAGAAACAGATGTAGATTTATGAGTTGTCACCATAAACATCATAGTTAATAGGATTGCATTCTTTAGGAGAGAGCATAAAAGGAAAAGAGAACAGAGGACCAAGGACAGAGGCTTTGGGGCAAGTGTACTGTTTGGTTGAATGGTACAGATTGTGAAAGCATTCCAAATAAATGGAAGGGGGAGACTAGGCAAGGCCCAGTGCTTGGTATCTCAGCCATTCCTCATGGCTGTCAGTACTGGATTTTAACCAATTGTTGTGAGTTCTCAACTGTTGCTTCCAAACCAAGAGGTTCTTGATCCCTTTGGAGACATTTCTGGTCTGCTGAACAGAAGGTTTTGCAGAGAACATCTTTACAGTATGTGTGGCTTCCTTTTGTTTGGTTTTTATTTTTTAAAGGAAATGTGTTTTTTTTTAATCCTTTTGAAAGCTTTTTATAAGCTCTTAAGTTATGAAAAAGTTATGTAGGCATACAACATTTAAAACATTTGCAAAAAGGAATCTGGGCTCTCATGGAAATCCACTGAAATGGAGGCCAACTGCTGGCCACCTCTTGAACTACAGCTGTGTTAAGGAAGGAAGCACTTAAAGAGATTAATGGATAAATAACTGAAGAGTTAAACATGAGCCACATTGTTTGAATTGGTTTTTAATGGGATTATTCAACATGTCTTCAAATGTAAACTGACTTTACTACTAAACAATCTGCTAAGCAGTTCACTATTGAACTAATTAAACTGCTCATTATTAAACAATCATCTAAGAGTAAATTGCAATGAGAAACACTTTTTTCCTGGAAATTTTTTTGAAAGCAACACTTGCACACACACAAGATATATTGAGTTAGTTTTCTAGAATATGATTTTCTTTTTTTTTTTAATTAAAAAAAAATTTTTTTAAAAATATATCTTTATTGATTACAGAGAGAGGAAAGGAGTGGGAGAGAGAGACAGAGAAACATCAATGATGAGAGTCATTGATTGAGCCTGAAACCGGGCATGTGCCCTGACCAGGAATCAAACTCCAATCACCTGGATCCCAGGTCAACGCTCAACCGCTGAGCCACTCCTGGCCGGGCAAGAATATGATTTTCTTATATGGTGCTTTCTAGTTAGAATTTGATGAAGTATTCATATTCTCTTTAAAAACACAATTGTCTGCCTATGCCTTTGCATAATTACCTGCCTGAGCATTTGATTGGAGTGGTTAAGTACATTCAAATCATAACTCTAAATTCAGGTTTCTGATGAAATTCATATTTGCTTGTTTATTCTATGACCTTAGTATTTTAAGTTGTTTTTTCAATGAAACTGAACAGAATCCTAAACTGGGTGGTAAACCAGGAAATCTAGTGTACATTTGCCTAACCACAGATTAAAAAGTTTAATTTTAAGGGGACTAAATTCCTGACTACAATTCTAAATCTAAACGGGAGGTTTGTGAATACTTGATATTGTCTTACTCTTCATATATTTGAATTGCTGTGCTAACCGAAATGTAGTTTAACCTACAAATATTTATTGCAATAATTACAATCATTTTCACATTATTGGCTTGAAAAAATGAACTGCTGACATTTAGCAGTTTTTGTCATAAAATGCCAGCGCTGACTCATGGATGTCAACAATTATGGTGGACAGAAGTAATTTAAATATGTATTTAAACTTTCCTCAGTTAATTATAGCTACTAGAATTCAAATAAATTCAACAGAAAACTTATTATGAACAATTGGAATGTAATAATGAAAAAATAATTTCCCCTTTCCTGCTGGGGAATGAAAGACCAAGTTTCTAAAGGATATGCAGTTGAGCAAAAAATAAATATAGAATGCAATGTATGAGATTTGGGGGAAAAGTCATTCAGTCTAAATGAAAGAATATACCAACTTGTCTAAACCTTTATTCTCATCTCCTTTGGCAAATATGTTTCAATAAGACACTTTATTTCTGAGTGTCCTATGAATTTTATTTGTACTATTAATAATTAAGTAAAGAATAAATGATGAGTCACTCTGGGAAGCCATATTAATACTTTATATAGAGAGAAAATTCTNCAGAGAAACATCAATGATGAGAGTCATTGATTGAGCCT